GGTGGGCGCGAAGGTCTGGAAGAAGTCAACCCCCTCGCGCTGACTGAACCCTCTAGCCACGTAGCGTGCCTTGAAGACTGGGGGAGATCCCAGCGGCCGCTTCACCTTGAAGATCCACATGCCGTCAACAATGTTCGCCCCTAGGGGGGGGAACCTCGTCAGCGTAAGTGCCTGTGGACCTGTAGGAGGCCATCTCTGTGTCCATGGCAGCTCTCCACTGAGAGGCCCAAGGCCCTGACACTGCCTCAGCGTAAGTGCGAGGAGTAGGTATGTCAGGAGCGTCTGGGTCTCCCTCAGGAGTGAGCAGCATGGCACAGAGATGAGGCGAAGCAGCTGCCAGGAAATCTAGCTCAAACTGTCTGTCCTCTAGGACGTCACAGCCAAGGGCACACACACCCCCGGCGGACAGAGGACAGACAGGAGGAGCTGCCACAACTCGAGTGGCGTAGTAAAGGCGACGCGTAGCAGTAAAGTCAGTGACAGCGGCAGTGAGGACCGCGACGGAGGAAGGAGAGGCACGAGGGTCTGTAACAAGAGAGGCGAGAACACGAGAGAGAGTGGGGCGGTACGTGCGGTAGTAGTCAGTGACCGGAGTGGACAGGGAGGCAGTGAGGGAAGACTCAGGAGGACGAGGAAGGACAGACGGAGGAGAACGAGGAGGACGAGGACGAAACAACACGGTACGGAGGTCGGTGACAGGGGACGAGGGACGAGCACGAGGAGGGCGAGAGGCCCAAGTGTGGGCGAGAGGAGGGGGGGACGGAGGAGACTGAGAACGAGGGAAGACAGCCGGAGTGGAGTCCGGAGGAGGAAACGTGGGACCGAACACAGGAGGAGAGGAGGGGAGACCAAGGGCCCGAAGGCCAAAAACAGGGGCCGGAGGCTGTTCCGGCAGCTGCGGCGGCTGCTGCCGCTGCTGCTGCTGCTGCTGCTGCTGCTGCTGCTGCTGCTGCTGCTGCTGCTGCTGCTGCTGCTGCTGCTGTGGCTGTGGCTGCGGCTGCTGCTGCTGCTGCTGCTGTGGCTATGGCTGCGGCTGCTGCTGCTGCTGAAACTCCAACCGCTCACGCTCCACCCGCTGCTGAACCTCCGACCTCTCACGCTCCAAACGCTGCTGCTCCTCACGCTCTAGAAGACGAAGGGCCTGGTAACGAGTCGGGTAGGGGTGAGGAGGAGGAGTGGTGTCAGGAGACGACGAAGAAGAACCGGCTCCACCCTCGACAGGACCCGGCTGAGCACCCCCAGAGCGAGGACCCCCTGCGGCAGCACGACCAGTACCTGTAGGAGGTGTACCTGCACCCCCAGTCGTGGCGCCGCCAGTGGCACCAGCACCAGCCCCAGACTCTCCAGCTCCAGAAACACCACCAGCTCCAGCACCACCACCGACTCCAACACGCTCGGGACGTGCAGCTGCAGCAGGTGCACGCTCAGCTCCAACTCCAACACCCCCAGAACCGGCACCGCCAGAGCCCTCACCTCGAGCACCAACACCCTCAGAGTCCGCAGTGGCCGGGAGAGGAAGCGCCGACGGCTGCTGCGGAGGCTGTGAGGACGACTGTGGGGAAGGAGGAGAGACCTGGGGGGGGACCGAGGGAGGGGGGGTAGCCTGCGACACACCTGACGGAGCGGGAACCGGGGGGGGTACCGGAGGAGAGGGAGCGGGAGGAGGAGGAGCTGGGGCGAGGAAGAGGGGAGGGGGGGGAACCGGGAGACCTCGACAGGGGTACCGGACGTAGTAGGGGACGGACTCGTCGAAACTGACGTCACGAGAGTCAAAGAACCGGTGGGAGGGAGGGTGGTAAAAGGCGAAGTCAGAGGAGGCCTCAGGGAAACCAAGGAAGACACAGGGGACGCCGCGAGGTGAGAGCTTGTCCGCAGAGGTGTCGCGGACAAGCGCCAAGCAGCCCCAGACACTAAACCAGCGCGGTGGCAAGGGAGCGGAGGGACCGTGGTGGAGGACGTACAGGTCGTCAAGACGGCTGAAGCAGCGTGCAGCAGAGTGGTCAGGGCGGCCGCAGTACGTGCCCCTGCGCGGACCCGTCAGGATCCAGTACTCACAGGGACCAACGTCGAGGCCGGCCGAGCGGGGTCCCCGACTAGAAGGGGCACCACTGCGCCCAGTGCTCGGGGGGCCCGTAGGTCTCCACTGCTGCGGGGGGGCCCACTGCTGCGAAGGGCCCCACTGCTGCTGAGTGCCCCACTGCTGCAGAGTGCCCCACTGCTGGGGCTGCTGCTGAGGTGGACGCTGCTGTTGGCCCTGGCGCTGCTGCTGCTGTCCCTGCCGCTGCTGCTGTCCAGGCGGTGGCAGCTGCGGAGGAGTCTGCTGCTGCTGGTGCTGCGAAAACCCCTCACCACCGTCTAGAGGAGAGCCGTCAGGTCCCGAGTCACCCCCGCCGCCACCCCCGCCACTAGTACTACCGCCACCGCCGCCACCCGCAACACCCCCAGAACCCCCGCCGCCCTTCCCTCCCTTCTTGCCGGACTTGCCACGTTTCTGTCCGCCAGAGACAGAAACGGCCGCCGTCTCCTCAGAGGCAGAAGACGCGGCAGTGGCAAGCGAGGCAGTGAAGGTGGGAAGCTGTGGTACCGCACACCCCTCAAAGAGACGAGGAGGAGGCGCAGAAGAGGCGGAGGCAACAGCGAGGAGGTTACTCTCGATCTTCGAGAGAGCGGTCTCAAGAAGATCGATAGTAAGCTTAGTGGGGTGCTTCAGGAGAAGCGCGTCGCGGGCTGTGGCTAGACGGTCAGGGAGGCGAGTGACTAACCAGTGAATAGTGAGCCACATGGGGGGGGGGGTGCAAGGGCAAGCTGTTCCTCAGTGCAAGCGGCCTTGAAGCGAGCTTCAAGGGAGCGCAGGTGGGTAGCGAGGTCAGCGACAGTCTCAAAGGAGGCGAGGTCAGGGTAGATAAAGGGGACGAGGAGGCGGCTGAGGGAGGCAGAGGAGGGAGTGGAGTAGCGAGCAACAATAGCAGTGTAAAGGTCTGCAGCAGACTCGACCTGAGTGAAGTGGACAGCCTCAGTTGGCGGGAGAAGGTCGGTCAGGGCGAGGCAGGCAGCAGCGTCACGAGACTCCCACACGTCACGAGCGAGGAACCGGCGCTGGTACTCAGCCTCTTGCTCGGAAGTAGGCGGTGGGGAAGTGGGCAGCGGTGAAGGCTGCGGCGGGGCGGGCAGAGCACCGGACGCATGCGCAAACAGGTGCACGCCATCCTGGTGTTGGCTCCTAAGGTGGCGCTGGGCCTGCGTCAGCCAGGTACTAAAGTCAATCGCACGCCCCTCAGGGTCGAAACGGAGCACGCGAGACGTCGCCATGAGGGGCGAGGACAAGTGATAGCGGCCGCCAGCCGCGAGAGGAGGAGGAGAGGGAGGTGAGTGCGAGGCGGGTGCGCGCAGGCGGGGCGCGCACTGGCTGGGCGCGGGGCGGCGGGGCGCGCGCTGGCGGGGCACGCTCCGGCGCAGCGCGCTGGCCGACGTGGCGCGCGAGCGCGGCGCGCTGGCGGGCGGCTAAGCAGGACGCGCGCTGGCGGGCGCGGCGCGCTGGCGTGCGCGCTGGCGGGGCCCGCTGGCGTGGCGCGCTGGCGGGCGCGCTAGCGGGCACGCTGGCGTGCGTGCTGGCGGGCGCGCTGGCGAGCTCGCTGGTGCGCCCGCTGGCGGGCGCGCTGGCGGGCTGGCGTGCAAGCGGGCTGGCGCGCAGGCTGGCTGGCGCGCTGGCTCGCTGGCTGGCTGGCGCGCTGGCGCGCTGGCTGGCTGGCGCGCTGGCGGGCTGGCGCGCTAGCTGCTGGCGCGCTGGCTGGCTGGCTGGCGCGTAGGCTGCTGGCGCGCTGGCTGGCTGGCGCGCTGGCTGGCTGGCTGGCGCGCAGGCTGCTGGCGCGTTGGCTGGCTGGCGCGCTGGCTGGCTGGCGGGCGCGCTGGCTAAGGGCGGGGAGGGGAGGGGTGCGCCGGCTGGGGCGTGGGGTAGGGCGCTGGCGGGCTGGCAGGGCGTAGTGGTAACCCTAGTGGTAGGGAAGGGCGGGCCTAGGACTAGGAGCGCTAACCTACTGCGGATACCATGTCAAAATGAGAACTACAGCGGGATGCGTTGTATTAACAGAATTGGGGTACATAACCTAACCCTAACTAGTTGTACCCCATATAGCCCAACCCACTACAGGCTATAATATTTGACAAGTATGTACCTGGCCCGGGATTCACGAGACCCCACCCACACACTTGGAGATGCCATGCGCTGTACAGCAGATCGCGTGCCGACGTGCTTTGCATCGCTGGAAGGAACTCTCACAGCGGCAAACTTTGAGTTGAATTGGTGATTCAACTTTGTTTTACTTTTTTACACTGATGGTTCAGTCTACTTATGATTTTTACACTCGCAAAATCAGTATAAAAAAACCATGAACACTGATTTGGACACCTGGGCGGCCGGGGCATGCTGATCGATCAGCATACCCTCAAACCAATCTGAGGGCCTAGTGGAGGCATTCACAGCTGTAGTCAACCATTACACCCACCCCCCCCCCCCCTCCCCCCCCCATCGCACCCATATATACATATGTACATAAGGTCAACACAGCGTAGTACATTCTTCGCTCGAGCATCACATGCATGCTTCCCTTGTGCATAACTATCCACAATCTACACATCTGACCCATGTACCCTCCCAAGAAAGGTATTTTGTCGGAGAATGGCCCCAAGTTATAACCACTCATGCCTTGCCAGCATCAAGAGCAGCTAAGATGAGATCACATGACCCCTGTAACGCCTGTGACAGTGAGGCTTAGGTTTAAGTCGCAGAGACGGGGAACAAGCAGGTGACTGAGGTGCGCCCTGCGCACCTTGCAGCCGTGCAGGGAGAGAGAGAGGTGGGGCGGGAGAGGGTGAGTAGGTGGGAGTGCGCGACTGTGTGGAGGCTAAGATCAGTTAACCCTGACTGAGTGGGGGCCAAGATCAGTTAACCCTGACTGATTGGGGGCTAAGATCAGTTAACCCCGACTGTGTGGGGGCTAATATCAGTTAACCCCTGTAACGGTGAGGCTCGGGTCCCAGTCACAGAGAGGGGAGACGAGCAGGTGATTGAGATGCGCTCTGTGCACCTTGCAGCCGTGCAGGGAGAGGGAGGTGAGGCGGGAGAGGGCGAGCAGGTGGCAGAGGCCATTGCGGGTTACTCCTGATCCCGAGAGGTTGAGGGTTTCGAGAGTGGTGAGTGCTGCAGGTGTGGAAAGGGGAAGGGGGGGGCAGGGGGGGGGGGGGTTGGTGTGGGGCAAAGAGGGAATCTTGTGAGGACAGAAGAGGGCGATAAGGAAGAACCAGAGTGCTGATTCCCTCACACGATTCACAAGACAGTGTGGTTTCGATAATAGACAATGTTTTATCTCGCATGCAAAAGCCTCTACTTCGAGTGTCCGTGATGTGCTGGTTCAGAGAGGCATCGAGGAATGCTAGCGTACACAGCACATGTGTAGAGAGGGTTTTAAGACGTCTCAGAATTACCCTCTCTACACGTGCCTCAACTCGGAGTGTCCCAAATGTGCTGGTTCCGAGAGACATCGGAGAATGCTAGCGTACACAGCACATGCTTAGCAGGTGCTATGCAATGCAGCTGCACACGTTACTGCTTAGTGTACCAACATATGCTGTGTTTTGCTTGTTTCTTTTTGTCGTCTTCTTCTTCTTCCTTAATCTGCCAGAGCCTTGACGCCCGCATCAGAGATGCGCTGGCTCTGAGAGACGTTGAGGGAGGCCAGTTGGGACAGCAGCAGCACACACCATTCAAAGTATGTCTAACACGGAAGCATTCCCCTCCCCATCCCACCTGCCAGAGCCTTGACACCAGCGTCGGTGATGCGCTGGTTCTGAGAGACGTTGAGGGAGGCCAGTTGGGGCAGAGAAGCGAGTTCCTTCACTCCCTGGTCTGTGATGCCGCCCCCACACACCTCCAACACCCGAAGCTTCTTGAAGCCTGCGCTAGGGTTACGTGGGAAGCATGAAGGAAGGAGAAGGAGAGTGTGAGGCAGTTCAGGGGCAGTGAGGAAAGCTCCTTCACTCCCTTGTCCGTGATGCCGCCCCCACACACCTCCAACACCCGAAGCTTCTTGAATCCTGGGGTAAGGGGCACATATGGAGCAAGGGGAGCAAGGGGCAGAAGGACAGCTCGTTTGTCACCCTCATACCCCGTCCCCCGAATTCCCACCCTCCTCACTTCTTCTTCCCCCATTCTATTTCCCCCATCCCCCATTTGTTGAGCCCCTTTCTCCCCTCCTTCCAACTCACCCTTGAGCACTGCCATGCCTTCGTCCGTCACCCGTGCTCCAAACAAGTCTAGGTTGGTGAGGTTGGTCAGGGCTGTGCGGGGTGGGGCGGACAACAAGAAAGACAACAGAGAGAACAGAGAGAAGAGAGAACGGGAGATGGGGAAACATTTGAGTCGACTCAAAAGTCACTTGGTCAGGGCTGTGTGGGGTGGGGCGGACAACAAGAAAGACAACAGAGCGAAGGGAAAACGGGAGATGGGGAAAGGACGGGAGGGTGAAGGGGTGAGAATGGAAAAGAAATGATGAGACTTTGGACGGGCTATGATCTGACAGCTGTTTCATCTCACCTCACAACCGTCTCATGTGACAGCCGTTTCATCTCGCAACTTATCTGACAACCTTTCCATCTCACCTGATGGTCGCTTCAGCCCAGTGTCGGTGACGGAGCAAGAGTCGAGGGAGAGGGAGGTGAGGGCGGAGAGGTGGGCGAACACAACCCATGATTCTTGGAGAGACAGGTCAAGGAAGGAGAGGAGTTTGTTTTGACTGAAAAGTGGTACGAACTCACCTGACAGGCGTTTCAGCCCAGCATCAGTGATGGAGCGAGTGTCAAGGGAGAGGGATGTGAGGGCGGAGAGGTGAGCGATGCTAGTCACACCGCCATCTGTGACACTGCAGTAGCTCAGGTTGAGGGAGGAGAGACGAGTCATGGCTGTATTGGGAGGGAAGAAGGGAAAGTGGGGAGAAATGGAGAGAGGTGGAGCGAGGTGAAGAGGTGGAGAGGTGGGTGATGCTGGTCACACCGCCATCAGTGACGTTGCAGTAGCTCAGGTTGAGGGAGGAGAGACGAGTCATGGCTGTATTGGGAGGGAAGAGGGGAAGGTGGGGAGCGGTGGGGAGTGTCAAGAGATAGGGTAGTGCTGCCCACACCACCGTCGGTGACATTGCAGTAACCGAGGGTGAGGGTTTAGAGACGAGTCATGGCAGTAGAGAAGGAGGGGATGGTGAAAGAAGTGGAGGAGGGAGAGGTGGGACGAGGTCAACGTTGTGAGAGGCAGGAAGGGAAGGGTGCGAAAGGGCGGGGAAGGGCGGGGAAGGGAGGTGAGGGATGAGGTGAGGGAAGGGGCATGTCTACTACAACTGCTTACCAGAGACGCTGCGAATCCCTGCATCGCCCACTGTGGAGTCTGACAGATCAAGGCTCTCCAAGGCAGTTAGACCTGTGAGGAATCATACAGCAGGGTTACAATGAGAGGGGAATAATGAGAGAGTTGGGAACCTTTCCAACTTGTAAATGGAAAAAATGAAAAAAAGGAAAGAGACGGATGTGTTCACCTGCAAGTTCTCCCATGGCAAGGTCGTTGACGCGTGATGAGTCAAGGTTGAGGTGGCGGAGGGAGCGCAGCGCTGCAGTGGGGGTTGGTGGGTGGTCGGTGTGGAGGGGAGGGGGAGAATAGAGGGGTGGGGAAAGAGTGGGAAAGTGGTAGTGAGTAATTCGATGCAAGGGAGCAGAGCACAGCAGAGACAGATCGTGTGGGGAAGGACTGCGAGGGAGGAGATAAAAGTGTTGTTTTGAGACGTCTCAAAACAACACTTTTATCACGTGGCTTTTGAGACGTCTCACAACAACACTTTTATCACGTGGCTTTTGAGATGTCTCAAATCGACGCAAGGGAGCAGAGCACAGCAGAGACAGAACGTGTGGGGAAGGACTGCGAGGGAGGAAAGTGAATTAATCAAAACAACAAACTCCTGTAGAGGTGGTGGTTACCCTGTGGGGTAATGGATCGCAATAGAGGACAAAATGGGGTGACAGGGTCGATAGTTTTTCTTTGTAATAAAGGACAGGATCGATAGAGCAAGAGCAAGGTGAATGAAGGAGTATGTAGAAAAAAACACGTGACAGGTGAAAGGCACTGATAGAGGAGAGTGTACGATAAGCGGAAGGTGTTGAGCAAAGTGGGTGATAGAGAGGGAGGAGTTGATATAGCAAAGTGGGTGACAAGGAGAGAGGGATGGGAGGCTTACAGGAGATGAAGGAAGGAGCACTCTGCATGCTCCTGTTGCGGGGTGTGTCGATGACGCCAAAGCGGGTGTAGGCCAGGTTGAGAGACGTGAGACGTGTGAGAGCTGGAGGGAGGGGCAACGAGTAAAGAGAAAAAGGGGAAGCACGGGTAGGGGGACGGGGAGGGGTGTCTATGACACCAAAGCGGGTGTAGGCCAGGATGAGAGACGTGAGACGCGTGAAAGCTGTGGAGGTGGGGAGGCTGGGAGGGAGGGGCGGTGGAGGGGGGAGAGGAAGGGAGGGAAAAAAGAATGGGAGGAGAAGGTAAGCAGAGAGGGAGGAAGTAGCCAAAGTGGGTATAGGCCAGATTGAGATGTGAGACGCATGAGAGCACGTGGATGGGAAGCAGGGTTGAAAAGCAAGGGTGGAAAGAAAAGGGGGGAAAAGCAAGGGGGGAAAGGGAAGGGCGGGAAGGGAAGGGCGGGAAGAGAAGGGTGGGAAGGGCAGAGTAGAGGGGAAAAAGCAAAATCGGACAGTGCAACAAGTAAAGAGAAAAATCTCAAGCACAGGTGGTGAGTGGGAGGGGGTGGTGGGGGGGAATTGGTGTGATGATTCCAAAGCAGGTGCGGGCGAGATTCTGCAATGTGAAATGCGTGAGAACGGAGGAAGGGGGAGAGAGGAAGCACCTTGCAGGTGCTTGGGCTTGTGATGGCGGAAAATGCACACCACTCCACGTTCCCCACCACCCACTCCCGCGTTTTGAGGTGCCTCAATGTTTTTGAGGCGCCTTAAGAAGGGGGAGAGAGGAAGCACCTTGCAGGTGCGTGGGCCTGTGTTGGTGGGCAATAGGGCTTTTTTGAGAATTCTCAATTTTTGAGGCGCCTTGAGAATTCTCAAAAAAACCCTACAGCATCTTGGGCCTGTGTTGGTGTGCAATGCACGCGGCACCACACCCCCCCAACCCACTTCCGCTCCAAACCTTATTCCGTACCCTCGCCTCCCCGCTTCCCGCGCCTCCCCGCTTCCCGCGCCTCCCCGCTTCCCGCGCCTCCCCTCTTCCCGCGCCTCCCCTCTTCCCGCGCCTCCCCTCTTCCCGCGCCTCCCCGCTTCCCATGCCCCTTACCCCCCTCCTCCCCTCCCCCAACCCTTCCCCTACAGCCCCCCCCCACCTTGGAGATGCTTGAGGCCTATGTTAGCGAGCAGTGCACACCACTCCACGTTCCCCCCCTCCTCCCGTCTCCCCCTTTCCCCTCCCCTCCCATCCCTCCCGTCCCCTCCCCCGCTTCCCCCTTTCTCTCCCCCACCTTGCATGTGCTTGAGGCCCGTGTTACTGAGAAGCGCACACCACTCCACGTTCCCCCCAACCCACTTCCGCTCCAAACCCCAGTGCTCTCCCCTCCACATTCCCCCGCTTCAATCCCCCCTATTCCTACTGTCCCACCTTGCATGTGCTTGAGGCCCGTGTTACTGAGAAGCGCACACCACTCCACGTTGAGCTCAGTCAATCCGTGAACGCCTGACACGTGGCACAAATGGGTGAGCGACAAGTGGAAGTGTGAGGGGAAAGACTTGCTGTGAAACCAGGAGGGAAGGCGGGTTTAGGGGAAAAGGCTTGCTGGAGAAGAGGCAGGAAGCAGGCCAAATGGCTAGCACGATCAGTGGGGTGGGGAAGACCTCTGTGAAAGTGTTTTTGAGGCGCCTCCAAAATCAGTGGGGACGGAGAAGACTTCCTGGGGAAATGAGAAATCGCCTACTGGAGATGAGCATGAGGGAGTAGGTTGTGTCGGTCGGTCCCACGCTGACGACTAAAAAGGTAAGTGGGGATCGAAACGAACTGATAAGTGGGTAAAAAATGCTTACTCGTAATGAAACGAACCACTTACTAGAGATGAGAGAGAAGGCTGTGTCCGTCGCATGCTGACAGCCCGCCATGCTGAAACTGGTCAGGGAGGAGAGAGCTGCAGGTGCGGATGTGACGGGATGGGAATGGGGCATGTGCGGCGACAGAAAGGAAGTATTAGGCGGCTCAAAGGGAGAGTGATGAGGGATGATATAGCTGTAAATGTGGGCGTGGGGCGGGATGGGGTGCATGGAATGATGGGTCGTGTGGAAAGATGAAAACTATTCCTCCTGAGGCGCCTGGTGGGGGAGCAGAGTGCTGCAGATGCTGATGGAATGGAGCGTGCGAAAGGATGGGAGAGAGGACTGGAAGCAGGGCAGAGGGACACAGATAGGGTCGTGTGAAATCATGCGTTCTGTTAGCATGATTTCAGCACACCTAGAAAGTCATATCAGGGCAGAGGGACACAGATAGGGTCGTGTGAAATCATGCGTTCTGTTAGCATGATTTCAGCACACCTAGAAAGTCATATCAGGGCAGAGGGACACAGATAGGGTCGTGTGAAATCATGCGTTCTGTTAGCATGATTTCAGCACACCTAGAAAGTCACATCAGGGCAGAGGGACACAGATAGGGTCGTCCGAACGCATGATTTCAGACGACCCTATCTGTTACCGCACACCTAGAAAGTCATATCAATCTTACCTTACAGCAGAGCCGTGAGGCCCAGGTCGGTGATCTTGCAGCGAGAGACGTTGAGGGAGTGTAGCGAGGCGAGCACTGAGAGAGGAGAGCGCTGAGAGAGAGGGGGGCCGCGGGAATGGAAAATGTGAGAGGACTCGACTGCATGGCTTACCTTGCAGCAGAGCTGTGAGGCCTGCATCTGTGATCTTGCAGCGGGAGACGTTGAGGGAGTGTAGCGAGGAGAGGCGGGCTATGTCTGCCATGTCATCGTCGTCGAGAGACGTGCACCAACCGACGTTCAGAGTGCGGAGGGAGGAAAGCCCTGTGACAGATGGGTGGAGGGGTTTGGCACAAGGAGTCTTAGTTGTGATTTTGATGTCAGGATGTGGGTGAGACGTTGAGGGAGTGCAGCGAGGAGAGGCGGGCTATGTGTGCCATGTCGTCGTCATCTAGGAACGTGCACCAGCCGACGTTGAGGGCGTGGAGGGAGGAGAGCCCTGCATGAGAGGCGGGAGCAGGAATGGGGAAATGAGAACCAGGGAAACTGCCATGTGTGCCATGTCATCGTCATCTAGGGACGTGCACCAGCTGACGTTGAGGGTGTGGAGGGAGGAGAGCGCTGTGAGAGACAGGGATCGAGGGATTGAGGCTATCATGGATAGAACTGCATGTTTGTACCCCTGCTGAATTAATACAACGGACCGTTTGGGAGAGGGGACGGAAGTGCGTTCAGGTGGGTGAGGGAGGGCAGGTGACTGATGTGCGCGAGAGCAGCAGGTTAATCAGTCAGACACAGTCAGAATCAGCCAGAGCCAGTCAGAATCAGTTAGAGTCAGTCAGGGATCACAGCAGGCCGTGCCTGAGAGGTGGCGCATGCCTCCCTTGAGCATTCCGCACACCCCGAGGTTCAGGTGAGTGAGGGAAGGCATGTGGGCCAAGTGCGTGAGAGCAGCAGGAGGTGGTTCAGTCAGATTCAGTCAGAATCAGTCAGAGTCAGTCAAATATCACACAGCGGACGTACCTGTAAGGTGGCGCATCCCCCCCTTGAGCAATCCGCACATCTCCAGGTTCAGGCGCGTGAGGGAGGGCAGGTGGCTGACGTGCGTGAGAGCAGCAGCAGACAGGCGGTTACAGCCACGTGTGCTGAGAGAGGCGAGGTGGTGGCAGGCTGATGTGAAGGAGGGGACGGGAGGGGAGGGGAGTGGTGTGGGAGAGGTTTGAGGAGAGAAAGCACGTCAGGAGTACTTAAGCAGCAGACAGGCGGTTACAGCCACGAGTGCTGAGAGAGGCGAGGTGGTGGCAGGCTGAAAGGGGGTAAGAGGAGACAAGATGGGCAGAGAGACATAGCGACACGTCACACAGTACAGATTTAGGGACGGCTTCCCAGGGATATCTAACAACGGCTTTGCATGGTGCATGGAGGGTACTGTGCATGCGGTGCACAATCCTAAAACAGGCATGTGGTTGTCTTAACCTGGATGGTGGAGGATTCGCATGAAAGAAGCGCGTGTGTGGTAACCAGTGCAGTACAGCAGATTGTTACACTAAAGCACATCCGGTTACCAGCTTTGGTCCGCATGGTTACCGGCATAGGCCGTGTGGTTACCAGCAAGAGGCGCCAGGGCGTCGTCTGTGATCTGGATGCACCAATCAAGGCACAGCGAGCGAAGCTGGGAAGCATGCAGCGACGAGTCAGCTGCAGCCAGCGATACAACCCCGGTCGTAGCAGCAGCTGCAGCTGCTGCTGTGGCTGCAACCGAGGCTGCTGCTGCCTTCTGCCGTTTTCTGCTGCAAAAGGCATCCCCATCCCTCTCCCTCTCCATTCTCGCTGTTACCAGACGCATGCAAATCTCACTCTCCCTTAAATTCCTCCTCTCCTCACAATCCCTCCCCTCCCTTTCATCCCTCTCTTCCCTCTCTCTCCTTTCTTCATCGTCCTCCTCTCCAACCCTCCTCTCCTCCCTCTCTTCTCCCTCCTCTTCCCCAAGACTCAACTCCAAAAACACTCCTTCCGAGGAACTTCCGTCTGACAGATCTTCTTGGGAGCTACTGCTGGAAGCGGGGTTGCTTAAAAGGCGGATGTCCGACAGAGTGGGGGAGGACAGGTTTCGGCCTTGGGGCGTGGTTAGACCCATAGGGGGAGAAGAGGGGGAGGCTGAGAGCGGGGATGGGGATGGAGCGACGAGTGTAGACGTTGGCGTGGAGGAGAGAGGGTGGGAGGAGGAGGAGGAGGAGGGGACGGGGAGGGTGGAGGGAAGGGTAATGGCGACGGAGGCAGGGTTGTGAGAAGAGGGGGAGAGAGGAGGAGTGCGAGGGGAGGCGAGGGGGGAGGTGAGAGGGGAGCAGAAGGGAGGGGTGGTGGTGCTGTCGTGGCCATTGCAAGTGCTGGCATCACAACAAGGAGCAACAGCGTTGACGGAAGCAGTATTGACTACCGCCAAATTCTTGCCAGCAGCACTGGTGACAAAATTATCAGTAATCGCAGCAGCAGTACCGGTTGCAGCAGGAAGAGCAGGAGGGGAACCAAGAAGCAGCTTCTGAATGCCCGTGTTGGTGACAGCAGCAGCAAAGGAGAGGTCGATGGAGAGCAGTGTGGGCGCGTGGGGCGACAGCAGCTCTAGCCAGCGATCATTAAGGTTGGGGTAATGCGCCAGAGGCAGGGACTGTTGGGGAATGGGAAAAAATTGAAAGCACTTAACTCATAAACAATGGTTGTTAAGGTAAGGTCAGTGCGAGTCGCAGGGAATGCAATGGGACCGTGGTTAATGGGACTTGTGGAATGATGGGCGCATTCAGGAACAGCGAAAAGAGTTATTTTTCGTGGTTTGAGTTGAGACATCTGCAAGTTTGGTGTTAAGGAGAAGGAGCAAAGAGTGTTGGGAATGTGAGGAATGCTGACCACGAGGAGTGGCGCGGGCAGTGCATGTAACAGCGGCAGGGAGAGCTCCCTGACGTGCACGAGCACGTGGCGCAGAGCCTGGAGTACGGAACTTCAAGGAGGGGTTGAGGATTATTATACCTCAAGGAGTGGTGCGGGCAGTGCGTGCAGGAGCGGCAGGGAGAGCTCCCTGACGTGCACGAGCACGTGGAGCAGCGATTGCAGCACCGAACTTGGCGGTACGGAGAGGCGGGTTGAGGAATGCTCACCTCTAGAAGTGGCGCGGGCAGTGCATGTAAGAGTGGCAGGGAGAGCTCCCTGACGTGCACAAGCACGTGGAGCAGCGATTGCAGCACGTGTGGGGAGAGACGTGCGAGCTTGGATGGTGTGTAGCTAGACTGCACGCAGCAGAAACAGAACGTTGTGAAAGGGAAGGGTGGGAAAGGAGGCCGAGGAAGGAGAAGGGGGGGAGGGAGAGAGGGAACGGAAGGAGGATATGGATGGCTGATAGGTTGACTGGAGGTCAAGGAAATGGCTAAGGTAAAGGTGGAACTAGACTCACAAAGTGATTGCAGGTTAAGATAGACAAGGGGCAGAGAGGGAGGGAAAAAAAGAGAGGTGAGCGCAGGAGATGGATGGAGAAGGGAGGGGATGAGGGAGTGATAAAAGTAGCTTACTGGTCGGCGAATCAAATCGCGGCAGACTGCCAGCGTGGCAAGCTCCTCAAGTGACAGCCTGGCCATGCCAGCTGGCCACCGCCCTCCCACCACACGCCTCGCCGTGCCATTGCTGCTGCCGCCGCCGTCGCCGCCGCTGCTGCTGCCGCCACCATTGCCGTTGATACTACAGTTGGTACTGCTGCCGTTGATCATGAGGGTGCTGCTTCTGCCACCACCACCGCCCCTTACGACTGCCATCCCTCCTGCTCCTGTGCCCACGCTTCTCGCCCTCCGCAGCTGCTGCTGCCTATACGGCTGCTGCTCCTGCAGCTGACTATCCCACTGCAGCTGCTTCTGCTTCTGGTTCTGCTGCATCTGCTCTTCGGGTGGTTCCCAGCGCCCGGAAAGAAAGGCAAGGGCGTAGCAGCAGTGGCAGCAGCAGCACGAGCACAGCCGGCTGCTGAAAGGGTCGCTGGTTGTGAGCCCCCCACGGCTGGTCGTTGAAGCCGTCGTGGCAGCAGCAGCACTGGCTACAGCCGCTGCAGCAGCAGCAGAAGCACCAGACGGAGTTGCAGCAGCAGCAGCAGTAGCAGGACCAGAACGATCACCAGGAGCAACACCGTCAGCAACAACAGCAGCAGCACCACTGCCACCGCCACCACCACCAGCACTGACACCACCATCACCATCACCATCGACAGTTACGTTTGCATCTAGCCACATAACCACGTTTGCTCCCCGCTCCTCGCTCTCGTGTCCCTGCTCGCCATCACCCCTGGGGATCCCAACAGGCGACGCCGTCTCACTGCGCATTCTGCCTCCATCATTCCCGTGCTGCTGATGATTGCCCACGCCGCCCGTGCTGCCCGTGCTGCTCGTGCTGCGCGTGCTGCGTGTGCTGCGGACGGTAAACATGCTACCGTCGCTGATGGTGGTGCCGCTGCTCGAGCTGCTGCCGAGGCTGCTACTGCCGGGCCTGCTGCTGCTGAGGCTGCTACTGCCGAGGCTGCTGCTGCCGAGGCTGCTGCTGCCGAGGCTGCGGCTGCCACAATTCTCGGTGTTACCTCTGCTTCCACTAGTAACCCTGCCCTGGCTGTTCGCGCTGCCCATTCTCGCCCCTGACAAAGACCGTTGGCTCAGCCTGCCAGGAAAACGGTGTTAAAAAGAAAGGGAAGAGAAAAGAAAAGAAAAACAATTGATGGGTCGGGCGCAAAAGGAAGGAAGTGAGTTGCACCGAAAAGACGGGGGTGAGGGAAGACGGACGGGATGGGGGAGAAAGTGGGAGAAGAAGGTGGGGCAAGACATACAACCTAGGAAGTGGTGAGAGACAGGGCGCATCACACCAGCTTAGGGGCGGAAAGCGAATAGCAACTCACGTGGCAACGGGAATCGACGCCGTGGACCACGGGAGCTCCTCGCCGCACTCGTCCCCGTCGCGAGCATCGTCAGCAACGTCCCAATCCACGTGGACGTCCTGTCCGTCGCAGTGGAACCGCGGCCCCTGGCAGTGCTGGTGGCAGTGGTGCAGGTGCCGCCGCTCGCTCGCGAATATGCCTTCCGCGCTCAACCTCCCCCGGATGGAGCCTCCCTCCATCGCTCCGCCTCCGCCGCCGCCGCCGGCGCTGGTGGAGCCGCCGCCGTAGCCGCTGGAGCTGGGGCGGAGTCGACGAGAGCACGCGCCACCCATAGCGTCAACGTGCTCCCGTTCTCGTTCCGTATTCTTAACCTTCCTCTTGTCCCTGTCTCCGTTTCCCGTCCTTTTCTCTCGTCCTTCCTGGCGTGGCTTAAAAGGCCTGAAAACGCTTCAAACAAATCGCATGCTCCAACGCAACAGCGGCTTCACAGAGTTGGGCGCCTCTATTCACCCAGCGACAACTTCAGCTTCCGCTTGCCGGCGGCCGAAGGAACAAGAGTGGGGTGACTGAGGACAGAGAAGCCATTGCTGTATCCCACGCGGTCACCGAAATGTTTGTGATGTCACAATGGTATTCGCGATGAAAGGGTTTCAGATAGAATGACTCCAGATAGAGTGGCTTGAGACGAAACAGGTGCAGATGATGCAGATGAAACGGCGGAACCGCGACGGCACGTCCCCTCGAAGCACGAATAGACGACACTAGAATGGCTGCAAGAGAGCGTGACAAATGAAACTAATGAAATTCATGAACGAGAGAGCCTGAAAACGATATGAATTCGTAGATGCGAACACCTCAAATGAGGGGTTAGATGCCGCTGGTGCAAGCTCTTGAGTGTCAAGCAAGAGGAGCTAAGTTACTGAAAGGTATGAATATCCCACCTTGGCTTGGTGGGGCGACAAGGCATGCTTTCTTGCCCACTTCCAGCTGGAGCGCATTCCGTTTCAGCTAGGTTCTCATGCTTCACTCACATTCGTGCCTTTTGCCGCAGAGCTTTGCACAACGCCAATCCCCAATGCACCCCCCTCCTCCTGCTCCCTCTGTTGTGAGGGGCTGAAGTGATGTTGAGGGAGGGTAGCGGTCCATTTATTATCCCATTCCGTCTGCCCAGAGAGAGTTACGCCAATGGGAGTGCGGGAAGGCCATGCACATACAGGGATGAAATTCCCATGCAGCAGGAGTGACTTGTTTTCGTGCTGCCCGGCTCATCAGTTATGAAAGATCTTCAAGCACATCAGGCTGTGCCATGCGGCTATTCAGCTGAGGTGGAGGACTACGCCGAGGCGCCTCTCTGACGCACAACCCATCATCCACTTAAACCAGACTGCCTCTCACCTGGATCAGCTTGATTGGCTAAAAGATGCAAGATGGACGCAAGTTGTACGTGTATGCGGTTGCTTCTGCGTCAGGATGAGGTGGCATGCGATGCCGTAGATTTGGCCCCTGAAGGCAGAGATGCAGGCCCGAATGATTGTGTACGGCGAAACTGTTTTTCACCCTTAGTGCTGACTTTGGCAATACGATGAGTGGCCATGACTACCTGATATAGACCCAAAAATCAAATGTGCAAAAGCCGTTTGTAGCCTTCAGCTGAGGGGCATTATCACATCCATCTGCACAACAAAATTGATGGATGAATCCAATATCAGATACGCTAAAGCAACCACGATCCATAAGCTAAACAAGTACCATTTGCTCCTTGAGTAATCAAGGTACCCTAGATGAACATGTACTACATTTTGTACAACCTGCAAACACACAAAATAGGCAACATCAGTAAGCTTGAACTTAAGCTGCGGGCATTAAACACAAGGGAACAGGAAAATGTGAAAATGTGGCGAGCAGAGTGGAGCGTTTCTAGTACACATGCAGTGTGTAGTGTAGTGTGCAGACGATGCTCTTGCTGGGCCATACATGCCGCTGTGCGTATGCGTGTGAACATGTGCGGGTATCAGGGAGAAGAGGCGAGAGAGTGGAGGGAGGGGGCGGGAGAGGAAGAGGGATAGGGAAGGGAGGGGAGTGGTGGGGGAAGCAGGGGGGGAGCTCACCAGGGAATCAGACAACTGCAGCAGATGTCTCATGTGTACTGGCCGGAGGAGTAACTTCTTTGTGTTGCACCAGGGTCATCAGTGGTGGCATCAAGAGTTGTTAGCCCGTTTGGCTTGACCCCTATAAGAGCCTCCCCATCATACTCCACAACATTTTCCCAGTTCTCGTACGCAACCTTCACCAGCTTATCCACGTAAATCTGCATCAGAGAACCACAGGGTTTAGACGAGAAATGTAGATAGTCATCGAATTGAATGCAGCAGCAGCTGCCATGGCCCATTGATGTGAACTCCTGAATACTTTGAAATTGAAGAGTCAACTGTTGGTTCTCTACTCAGAAACCACACTCGTTTTTTATTATCTGCAGCAGAAAACTGATGTTAGAATAGAAGAATTTTTTTTTTTACCTTTTCACTCTCAGAAAGAAGATCCACAGACATGTACTGGCTGTCTGCAATAAGGCCCATGAGCTGGAAGATGTTGTTGAAGATGACGCCAATGTTCTGCTTGTCATCCGCATAGTACACATGCAGCTTGCCGTTCAGCACACATGTCTTTGCATGCTCCACCGTGTTCTCCCACATCTTGTTTGACATGCCTGAACCAAGAATCTGGGAAACAAAAAGGCGAATCAAATTCAGGAACGCACATCAGCTACGTAAATGTGCAAGAGGCTTCCAAAAAAAAGGGGAAAAAAAAACACTTACATTTCGTAGTTTTTGTGGGTCCATGACAACAAGCCGTAGGAAATCCTCCACTGTGAAAATTCCAGCCTGATTCAGGCGCTTGTGAAAGGCGCCATCCTTGCCTATGCGATCCAACCGCCACACTTCGTCTGTCAACGCAGGCGGGTAGTGCTTCTTGTACACTGTTGCACAGCCAGGATGAACAATCGAAAAGGGAAACAGCATCAGCGAGCCGTCTTTCAATCAGGCCGGATTCAATCCCATTGTATGATAGGAAATAAACCAAAACCCAAGTGGCCAAACATTCAAGGAACCCCGCAGCAACTCACATTCTCCACGGTGATCCTTCACTGTGAACGCCTCTGTCTTCCCTTCTCGTACCCTGCTCTCCCCAACCTGCCCTGGCGACACTCTCACTCCCAACCTAAACTTGCGACTCCGGATCCAACTGGAGTTGTCTGTGAACGTGATCTCGCCCATAACCCCTAGCCCGTCTTTCAGCACCACAAACGTCTCGCCAGTCAAAAGTGGCCTCTTTCCATCTCTCTCTTTCACCAAAAACTGGTCAAATTCTCCCTGCACAGAACAGCAGGTTCTTCAGTCTGAGACTACAGAAAAGGACGAAACGCAGAGCCAAAACATTTCGAGGAATATTGAAGCACAAGGGTGGACAACGAGAGTTCTTACCGGTAGCCAATCATCTTCATCATCTCTGCTGAAATCTCCTTCAAGCACCACAACTTCAAGCTTCAGATTGGCCTCTGGTCCTGTGGTAACCACAGAACCTGTATCTCCATCCTGGAGAAACACTCGGATTGGCTCACTCCCTTCGCCCTCCACCTTCCCTCCAGTGAACAAAGGAAGTGCCAACTTGTTGCGGAATTGCAGCCTCAAATCACGCTTGACGCCATTGGCTGGTAGTCGTTTAGGAGCTTCAAGACTGCTGGAATATGGTGGAGTTGGGCACAGAAACAAAATACAGCATAAACTGCAAACTATAAGCTCAAGAGCTCAGAGGAAAAGGGACAGAAACCAGAAAACGACCAGCCAATAAGAAAATCCTTCGGCTCGGCAGAGTGTCAAAAGCTTCAAATACCTGGTCTGCCATGAAAGCACAATTACACCTAGCCACAGTTTCCAGCAACTAATTGGCACCTGATAACCGTTTCCAACAACCACATCAGCGCTTTTCTTTACCATCCAACATTCCATCTGGACTTGAGCAAGCAAAATCGCCGCCATACCTCCTTTTTCAAATTTGGTCTCACACCTTTTTCCAGACAAGCCTTTTACACCCCTTCTCGTGCCAAACACATCACCACCGTGAGAAACTAATCGCCGAAAATAGGTGTGGGTCAAGGAAAGGCTCACCACCGAAGTTTTCATGCTCTGCGCCAATAAGTTATAGACGAGAAACAGCCGTAAGAATCAAATCAGGGCTTCAATAAGAACCTACCGTAGTGGCGGCTTAGAGCTGGATGACGGCTGGAAGGTTGCAAACGCTTTTTGAATTTCTTCAGACACCTGAAAAACTAGTCGACTTGTTAATACATAGAGATAATAATCAAAGAAAAATGACGCATCTTGTACGAGCGCGTCTTCCCGCGTACCACGCGTCGAAGCAACGGCTCCAAAACGGTGCACAATTTCGCCAAATTGTCCATCTTAACCGTCTCCACAACGACACTGGAGATAACACATAAGCGCGAGGTTGTTAGTCTTACGAAGAGACGACGACGCGGCGACACAAGACACTTCGCAAAACAGTCAGCGCAGCAGCAACCTACTTAGCTATCGTTGGTCCTCGATGTCTTTTTTCGGGAGATTGACTTTCCCCGTTCCCTTCTTCGAAAGGTCTTTTCTCCCCATACCGCTGTTCAAGATCCATGCTCTGGCGACAGCTGAGTTGTTCAAATAATCTACAGGCCAACATAGCGCAGCGACAGCAAATTAGCTCGGCTTAGGCGCACATGCGGATTCATTAACTGATCAGATATTTCTGCTCACCAGCTCGTTTTGATGAAAAAAGCGGTTCGAAACGGTCACTGGTTGAAAAAGAGGGTGCCGCGTGTGCTTGCCAAGTCGAGACCGCACTTCACAGAAATAACAAATGCACGGAAGAATCGAGGAAGCAGAAAGAAACGAACAGAAGCCGTGGAGAGGGCAGGGTGGGGAGGAAGGGGGTGGGAAGGATGTGGTGGGTGGGTAGCACGCAGGGGGGTGAAACTGTTGGTGGGGAAAGCGGGTGAGGGGGGGGGGGGAGGGGGGGGGGGGAATAACGGAAGGGGCTTCGGGAGAAACGGGAAAGGATGGAAAGAGGTGCGGAAAAATGGGGAGCATGGGGGCGGGAGAGGGTGGCGGGATGGGGGTTGAATGGGCGGAGAGACAGCACGACTGCCTGGATTGGGAGTTGCGTGCGGGAGGGAATACGGTCAGGATCGAGCGGAAGGGGTTTCGCATGCTGACACAGGATAAAGGTTTGCAGTTGACAAAAGGCTAGGTTAGATACGGTTTAAACGGCTTGGTAAAGGTGACAGTGTTGAGAGGTGGTGGTGGTGGATTTCTGTGCCACTGTTGAATTAGACAGAAGCGTACGCGGGACTGATTCTTTCGGGAAGTTGCGGACTAGGAAGAATCGAGGAACCGCCGATGAGGACAGGAGGGAGGGAGAAACTTCTTCAGGACCGTCGATTTCCCATTTGTCTGCAGCACCTTTTGCGTGTCACGCGAGCTTGATGGCTCTGCTCAGTGACAGTCCCGCTAGAACCCTCTGTCATGTAACCAAACATGCAATCAACCGTTTGGCACCGTAGAGTAAGCAAAATCATTCAAGTTGCATGAGTGCATGTTGCTGACGTGGAATGCAAGCTAGCACTTGGCAAGACGCTGACGGCGAAAGCTTTTCAGCCAAGCAGCGCGGGAAGCTTCTGTTGAGCAGTCAGCACAGTTTCTGGGCTGGGACCAGCACAGTTTCACCGACCATTTGACTCAAAAACACTAGCTTGCACAGAAGTCGAACACGTAACAAGACGATGGAACAAATATCTCATATTAAAAACGAGGACACATAACCTCTGAAATATTCTATTCCTGATCTGCCGCATCCACCACCAACACTTGCGCGTCGGCCAGCGGAAATGCTACAGGAAGAAACCGAAGCAGAAGCTCAAATGAAGTGAAAGTGATGACAGCTGCTGGAGTAGTTCTGTACAAGTTTGCAACGCATCCTCTGTAAAACGCTTGAGCACCTTCGTATTTGATAATCTGTACGCAAGCATAACACAGAAAGAAGCTGTGCTCCTTCTAAGCGAGGAAGAGAGAGATGTGGAGGGGATGCTCGTGCATGAGACAGTGACGACAAAAAGGCAAACGAAGGGGTGGAGGAGGGGGGGGGGGGGGGGGGGGGGGGGGAGGAGGGGGTGGGAGGAGAGGGGAGAAAAAAGTCCAGCAAGGATATGAAAAAGGCACCTTTTGGATGCAGTCAATGACACCAAGATAGCGGGGCACACTGCTATCTGCTCCCGCTGCTGCGATTGCTCTGCCTTGCTCCTGCAGTCGCGACCGCACCACCTGCCACATCCCACACACGTGCATGGACAGACGAGTGAGTGAGGTACAATGCAATGAGAATCTATGTGTCTAGCAATAACAAAAAAAAACATATATATATATGTATATATATACACCCACATGATATATACAAACACGCCGGCACACACTTGTACCTCGTGAGGGTATGTGAGGGTGGAGGCCACGACTTTCGAGACTGCGGAGGCCAGAGCGAGGTCGATGGGCGATAGCTTATCGACACTAGTGTTTGCTCTCTCCGCCATGGTCTGCTTGAGGTGCTCGTAGAGGGGAAACTGGATGGCCACGTGGCTCACCCCTGCCAGTGCTGGCACCACCCCACTGCAGGAGAGAAGCGGAGAAAGGGAGGGAAGGGGGGGGCAGGTGGTTGCTCTCTCCGCCATGGTCTGCTTGAGGTGCTCGTAGAGAGGGAACTGGATGGCCACGTGGCTCACTCCTGCCAGCGCTGGTACCACTCCACTGGGAGGGAGAAAGGGTGTTCCCAAGGAGAGAAATGGGGTACAGGAAAGGGGAGGGGGTGGTTGCTCTCTCCGCCATGGTCTGCTTGAGGTGCTCGTAGAGGGGAAACTGGATGGCCACGTGGCTCACTCCTGCCAGCGCTGGCACCACCCTACTGTGAGGATGGGAGAACGAGGAGCAAGGTTGGAGGCGAGTGAGAGAAATGGGGATGAGGAGAGAGAGAGGGGAGCAAGATTGGAAGGTGAGTGAATGAAGAGACGGGGAGGGAGGGAGGGGACAACAATATCACACATGCACAATCACTCACTCCCTCCTCTCTCACTCACTCCCTCACACACACCTAATACGACCCTGCCACTCCCTCCTCCCTTCAATCACTCACTCACTCACTCCCCCCCTCTCACACCACAGACCTGTACAGCCCTGCAACACCCTCCTCTCTGAAGATCCGAACCAGTGCCGACACCGTTCCCTTGTACGGCAGGCGATGGGGGCGCAGGCCCTTACTCACTCCCTCCCGCCCTCCCTCCCTCACTCCCTCCCTCCCTCACTCCCTCACTCCCTCGCGCGCTCGCGCGCTCTTGCACACACACGCACACACCTGTACAGCCCTGCCACGCCCTCCTCTCTGAAGATCCGCACCAGCGCCGACACAGTGCCCTTGTATGGCAGGCGATGGGGGCGCAGCCCCTGGGTCTGGCAGGGATGAGAAGGACGGAGTTGGGGGAATGGGGGAAGAAGGAGAGAGGGGTCATCCATGAATGCGGCAGTGGTTCAGTGATTGATGCCTTAGTAGGTAGACATCCATGCGGTTGAGTGAAGGGGAAGGGGAAGTCCCCGTGGGACTGGCAGGAATAGGAATAGGGCAGGGAAGGGGGAAGCAGGAAAGCGGGGTCAGTGATTGTAGGAAAGATTGATGCCCTTGTAGGGAGCCGACGGCTGAATGGCGGTGTGGGGGAGCAGACCCCAGTGGGGTCTGGCGTGTGGCGGGAAAAGGGAGCATGAGGAAGGAAACATCGAAGTTGGAAAAGGCATGGGAGAGAATTGGGGAAGGCATGGGGCAGGCACGGGAGAGGCACGCGGTTGTTACCCTCCCCCATGATGCTGCAGGGTGTTTTTAAGAATTCTCAAAAACATACCAGGTGACAGGCGTGGGGCAGGCACGGGAGAGGCATGCGGCTGTTACCCTCCCCCATACCAGCAAGCGAGTTTCTACAACCCAGAGCGGTTTGGTCAGACGAATGGCACTGGTTGCTAACCACCCCCCTGCTAGCAGCGCTTTGTTTCTCTGCCACTGAACGAGCAGCCTTGGTGTACGCATGATTATCTCCCCCCTCCACCTGTTTTTGTCGACTAAAGAACCTTCCACTGAACAAACAGCCTTGGTACACCTGTTATCATCCCCCCCCACCTCTTACCTGCAGACGGATTTTCACGACCCCGAGGAGATTGGTGAGAAAGGAAGTGGCAGCACCTGTTGCCACCCACCCACCCTCCTGCAAGCAACACAGTCTCTTTGTTTCTCTGCAACTTTACAAGCAGCCCTCGTATACGCGTTATTGAACTCCCCCTTGCATACCTGCAGGCGCGTTTTCACGACCCAGAGGGGGTTGGTGAGAATGGCAGTGGCAGCACCGGCACCCGCTGCTGCCGTAACGCTGGTGAGCAGCGGCGGAGGGGCAGAGGAGGAGGAGGGGAAGGGGACTCCAGTGCAGTCCCCTGTACAGGCCACCCCCGTGCACGTGACACCAGAGGTGCTGCCTCCCGTGCTGCTGGCACTACCAGTGCAGCCCTCCCCCGTGCATACCCTCCCTGCGCTGTCGGGTGCACTGAGCATCTTCTTGAGATGGTCGTACACTGAAAAGTACACCTGTGGGTGGGGAGGGAGGTGGGGCAAGGTCGGGGCAGACCACATGTTAGCCCGTGCAGTCCCCTGTACAGGACACCCCCGTGCACCTCACACCAGGGGTGCTGGCGAGTGTGCTGCTGGCACTACCAGCGCACCCTTCCTCCGTGCATACCCTCCCTGCGCTGCTGCTGCTGCTCCCGGGGAAATGGGAGTCGGGTGCACTGAGCATCTTCTTGAGATGGTCGTATACTGAAAAGTACACCTGTGGGGTGATGGGTTGGAGCGAACAACATGTTAGCCTAAGCATGAGAGAGGGGATGCCCATGGCTCCTCGCTTTGAGCATCTTCTTGAGATGGCCGTACACTGAGAATTACACCTCTTAACGGAGTAGGTTTGAACGGAGTTCCCCCCTCTCTCCTCTCTGCTCCCGCTCTTGTTTGCTTCGTTGTTGCTGTTGCTTCTGTTTTTGTCAATGTTTCGTTTTCTGTTATTTTTTTCAACCCCCTCTCCCTTTTCCTTTGCACCAACCCGCCTCTCTTCCCCCTCTTCCAGCTCACCCTCCCCTTACCGCCCAGTTCAGCAGCAGCGCAACCCCGAACGGGCACAACCCCCTGTACATTCCCTCCCCTTTCGAAACCGCCCCTCCCCCATCCTCCTCCTCTCCCCTCTCAGCCCCTGCCCCACGTTCCCCTTACCGCCCAGTTCGGCAGCAGCGCAACCACGGAGGGGCACAGCCCCCTGTACAGCCCGCGGATGCCCTCATCCCCTTACCCCCCTCCCCCTCCTGCCCCATTCCCCCCCTTTTTTCCCCCAACGCGCCCTCCTTACCGCCCAGTTCGGCAGCAGCGCCACGACGGAGGGGCAGAGTCCCCTGTACAGCCCGCGGATGCCCTCCTCCCGCCAGATGGCGCGGAGCGTCGTCGCAATCACCCCCGCCTTCGCGCCCGCCGCCCTACCCGCGCGCGCATGCGCCCCTGCTGCGCCCGCCCCGCTCCCAGCTGCATTTCCCCGGGGGGGAAGCGGAGGCCCCGGGGAGTGCGGGGAACCAGGCGGGCGGGAATGCGGCCCCCCCCGATGTGGCGCAAGCGGAGGCTTCGTGTCCCGCGCCCGCTTGCCTGCCTATCCCTGCGCGTGCAATAGAAAGCCCGTTTCTTCCAGCGAGGCTGCTCATAACGGGGAAACCTGCGGCGGAGGAGCGGCCCCCCCCCGAGTGCGTAGAGGGGAAGGCGGGATTGGCGGAGCTGCAGGGGGGAACTGTAGCTTGCGCGTGCGGAGAAGGGGACGGGGAAGCGGAAGCGGAAACGCCCAGGTTACCGCTTGCGCGGTTAGAGGGTTGCGCTGGGGTAGGGTTGGAGTGTTGGTTGAGTTGGGCGGCGGCCGTGAGGCTGCCGGTTGTTTGGCCGGTAGAGCTGCCGGCAGCCGGTTGTGGCCGGGAGCGAGGGATTGACTGCACTTGCAGCCGCGTTTTGACGACATCGAGCGGCGCGACTAACGTGGCGGCTATGGCGCCTGGCGATTGGATTGGTACGCGGGATAACGGAGACGGAGGAGACGGAGAGAAAAGGGAGAGGAGACGGAATGGAGACGGGAAGGAGACGGAAGAGAAATGGGAGAGGAGACGGAATGGAGACGGGAAGGAGACGGAGAGAAAAGGGAGAGGAGACGGAATGGAGACGGGAAGGAGACGGAAGAGAAATGGGGAATGGTTGGAATGGCACTTGTGCGCATTTTGAAACAATCGATCAAGTCTGAAGTGAGAAGAGTCTGACGAGTCAACAAGAGTCTGACGTGGCCATTCACCTGCACCGGCGCCCGCGACGCCGCTGAAGATCTGCGACCGGCGCTCCTCGGGGAGCTCGCCCAGCCACTTCTGCATGCTGAGTTGACACGAGAGTTGACACGCGAACGAGTGTTGACACTGGCTTTGGAATTGTAACGCGGATCTGGTGGCAAACTTTGCGCGCCAACTGCTTGTTACATAACGACGGCTTCTATATATCCGTTATTGGTCCCCAGATTTCTGACTATCCCCGAGAAATAATAGATCGACGGCGCGTGCGAGTTGATGGGATATCGGGGAGCGATGCTCGAGGCGGCGCGAACATCGCAGAACGCCGTCGTGGTCTTTCGTTAAATCCGGCTGTTGAGATGCTCCGTTCAATCCGGCCGACGGTTGACGCCTGAGAAGGTATAAGGAGCAGACCAATGCGGCTCCCTCGAATTCAGACCTTGTCGAGCGGACTCGACGGTCGCCAAAAAGGTAATGCAGTTCGCCGGTCACCTTATTCCCTCTGCTCGACCTTATTCAAAAAGCACCGCGCACAACGGCGAAAGGAAACTATCCGTTCGGCACTTATTGCTCGTCGCGCGACGCTTGTTCTTCGATCTCGCTGAACTTTGCGCCCCGGGGTGCGGTGCGGTGCGGTGTGGAGTGGCGTGGCGTGGTGTGGTGTCGCGGACGCACTAGATTCGTTCATCCGTGAATAATGGATCCGCAAATATCGCACACGACAGGACGGTCCACGCGACGGTGACCGTGACTGATCAGGCTCAATTAGCTCCAAAAAAATATACTAAGCAGGAAATAAGCAGTGACGCGAACGAGCTATGGGGGCGGCTACAACACGAAAAGCTGAAGCACGAAGCTTCTATCAAAGCTTCTTGGGAGGCTGAGTTGGGATGCGCTTTCGCTCTGCTGTAAAAAAACGAAATCTGGGCTCAAGGACATTATTAGCTGGTGACGTAACACCCAACCGTTCCCAGACACCAGGCAACATATAAGAACCGTATTTTACTGCTTTGTGACGTCCCAGCACGTCATGGCACACCGCCAAGCGTGCTTATTAGAAATAAATCACCGAGGCAAACACAAGCAGGCAGCAGCCATTTCTTGGGCACAAGTCATTTCTCTTTCTTTTCTTTTCTATCCGGCCCGACTTCCCGCTCTTGCCCGCAGGTGAGCTGCTGCGCGAAAATGGGGAAGATTGATGAGCTCAGTGGGGTGGAATTGAGGGGCGCGGAGCTCCCGAACTTTTAGCGCGACGCATGCGCCGAGGGGCGGGGAAAATGGGGGGGAAGGAACTTCGTCGGGGCAGGAATGGGGCAAGTTCTCGACCTGACCGGCGCTGAACAAGTGCCCAAAATAATTGAATCTCTGGCGTTGATTAGACTAGGGACATTCTTGCGTGACGACTACAACGAAGGGTGAGGTGGGGCTTCTTGCGTGCTGATTCGCTCATACGTCGGATCGCGAAAAGCTGACCTGGCAACAGCACATTACAGGCGACCATGTGACGGAGGGAAGGGCTTCGATTGGGCAGCCAAGGCGAACTGCAGCTCCGCCACAATCCCACATTTTAAGTCAACACATTCGCTAGTATGAAGTACTAACTCAACCAAGCCAAGTACATGGTTCCATCACCTAATGCATACCACATAATACAAACTCTACCAAGCCAAGTGCATGGTTCCAAACAGGATAAGGATTAGTTACATTTTCACACAGGTTTGAAAACCCTTCAAAATTGCTGGCCTTGCACCCGCATCACACCTGCAGGTCCAAAGAATGGCTTTCCGCCAGCCACGTCTCATAGAAAGCGGCCGACATTGTCCCAACCCTCCGCACTGAGTCCCAGAAGTCGATTTTGAATTCCATCCGAACGACCCGCACAAATTCCGGCGCCGGTACTGCCTGCGTTGCCCTTTTCTATTCGCGCAGTCCGATTTCGAAGACAAGCAATTTCCTGCAAGTCTCATATTCGTACACGTCGAAATTGGCGTTGCCGAAGCCGGACTTAACCCGAACTGCAACCGAACGGACCCAACGAAATAGTTCCTCCGGAGGTCGAGAGATTTTAGTTGCGGCGGGAAGACGTTCGGGAGGGGACCCGTGAGGAAATTGTTGGCGACGGAGAGGGAGGTGATGAGGAGCGGGAGGCGGGGAAGATTGCCAGTGTGGAGGTTCCGGGGCACGTGTAGGAGGTCTACTGTGTCTGAGAATGCGGGTATTTCGCCGGATAGAGCGTTGTTGGCGAGATTTCTGTGGAGGGGGGAAGCAGAAGAGTGAGAAAGAACGAGAGGGCGGACGCGTGAGACAAAGTAAACGGTCGATAAGGAACATGCATGTGCACATGCAACAACTACACATGCATGTGCACATGCAACAACTACACATGCATGTGCACATGCAACAACTACACATGCATGTGCACATGCAACAACTACACATGCATGGCATGCAGATGCCATGCACGGAGCAGGGGTCCAGATGGAGCAGGGTAACATGGGGAAGGGTAAGGCTCACACATAGACCAGACGGGGCAGGGTAAGTCTCACACATAGTCCAGATGGGGCAGGGTAACACTCACACATAGTCCAGATGGGGCAGGGTAACACTCACACATAGTCCAGATGGGGCAGGGTAACACACGCACATAGACCAAAAGGGGCGGGTAACACTCACACGTAGACCAGATGGGGCAGGGTAACACACACACATAGACCAAACGGGGCGGGTAACACTCACACGTAGTCCAGATGGGGAAGGCTGGCAACAGCCGTGGGGATGTGGTGAGAGAGCAGGTTGCTGGGCATGGACCTGCCAAAAGAGAGATGGAAATGGGGGTGTGAAGAAAAGTGAGAAAAGTGAGAAAGGTGAAAGTGAGGAAAGTGAGAAAAGTGAGAAAACTGATTCAAGGTATTGGCTGAGAGAGCAGCGAGTTGTGATGTAAGGTCATGGCAGTTGTTGCAGTGGTGACGGTGGTGGCGGTGGTGGCAGTGGTGGCAGTGGTGGCGGTGGTGGCGGTGGTGGCGGTGGTGGCGGTGGTGGCAGTGGTGGCGGTGGTGGCAGTGGTGGCAGTGGTGGCGGTGGTGGCAGTGGTGGCAGTGGTGGCAGTGGTGGCAGGCAGTGGTGGCAGTGGTGGCAGTGGTGGCAGTGGTGGCAGTGGTGGCAGTGGTGGCAGTGGTGGCAGTGGTGGCGGTGGTGGCGGCGGTGGCGGTGGTGGCAGTGGTGGCAGTGGTGGCAGTGGTGGCAGTGGTGGCGGTGGTGGCAGTGGTGGCAGTGGTGGCGGTGGTGGCGGTGGTGGCGGTGGTGGCGGGGGTGGCGGGGGTGGCACGGCACGGAGCATGTGAGCACTCAGCAGGCACGTGATTGTCTTGTTGTACTCATTACAAGCACGACTCGTACTGTGCGCGACGTAGCCGACTACACTAAAAAGAGCACAAAGTGAGCACAGAAAGCAAGGCAGAGAGCTGCTCACAGGTAGAAGAGGCTCCGGAGAGCACTTTTGAGATTTCTCAAAGAAGAAAGAAACAAAAAAAAAGAAAGAAAGAAAAGAAAGAAAAGAAAGAAAAGAGAGCACAATTGTCTGCAAAAGGCAGAGAGCTGCTCACAGGTAGAAGAGGCTCTGGAGAGCACCCCAGGAGTCGGGGATCGGGCCTGAGAGGCGATTAAAGCCCAGGTCGCTGCAGAGATGGGTTCAGGAATGGGGGGAGCGGGAGAGTGAGTGGGAATGGGTAGTACTCATGGGTGGGTGGTGTTGCCAAGGGCAGAAAAGACAGGATGGTAGTGGGTAGGGCAGACGGGATGGTAGAGGGTAGGGCTGACGGGACGGTAGTGGGTAGGGCTGACAGGACGGCAGCGGGTAGGGCTGACAGGACAGCAGCGGGTAGATCTGACAGTGTATACTAATAAGGAAGAGGGGGAAGTGGGACTTTTGTGCACTGATGTGAAACCCTAAAGGGGGATGAGGGAAGAGGGGGAAAGAATAAAGGGGGATGAGGGAAGAGGGGGAAAGAATAAAGGGGGATGAGGGAAGAGGGGGAAAGAATCAAGGGGGATGAGGGAAGAGGGGGAAAGAATAAAGGGGGATGAGGGAAGAGGGGGAAAGACTAAAGGGGGATGAGGGAAGAGGGGGAAAGAATAAAGGGGGATGAGGGAAGAGGGGGAAAGAATAAAGGGGGATGAGGGAAGAGGGGGAAAGAATAAAGGGGGATGAGGGAAGAGGGGGAAAGAATAAAGGGGGATGAGGGAAGAGGGGGAAAGACTAAAGGGGGATGAGGGAAGAGGGGGAAAGAATAAAGGGGGATGAGGGAAGAGGGGGAAAGAATAAAGGGGGATGAGGGAAGAGGGGGAAAGAATAAAGGGAGATGAGGGAAGAGGGGGAAAGAATCAAGGGGGATGAGGGAAGAGGGGGAAAGAATAAAGGGGGATGAGGGAAGAGGGGGAAAGACTAAAGGGGGATGAGGGAAGAGGGGGAAAGAATAAAGGGGGATGAGGGAAGAGGGGGAAAGAATAAAGGGGGATGAGGGAAGAGGGGAAAGAATAAAGGGGGATGAGGGAAGAGGGGGAAAGAATAAAGGGGGATGAGGGAAGAGGGGGAAAGAATAAAGGGGGATGAGGGAAGAGGGGGAAAGAATAAAGGGGGATGAGGGAAGAGGGGGAAAGAATAAAGGGGGATGAGGGAAGAGGGGGAAAGAATAAAGGGGGATGAGGGAAGAGGGGAAAGAATAAAGGGGGATGAGGGAAGAGGGGGAAAGAATAACGGGGGATGAGGGAAGAGGGGGAAAGAATAACGGGGGATGAGGGAAGAGGGGGAAAGAATAAAGGGTGGGGCTTACAGGAAGGACAAATGAGGACTCTGAGGTACTGTAGGGCCACGAGGGTTGAGCTGACTTTTGAGTCGACTCAAAAGTACTGGCCACGAGGGTTGAGTACGCGTGGCAAGGCGGGGGGGAGGAGGTGGGGGAGGGGGAGGGCTTACAGGTACTGTAGGGAAACGAGGGCTGAGCAGGCGGCAGGAAAGGAGGGGTGGTAGGGGGGGGTGGGGTGGGGTGGGGTGGGGTGGGGTGGGGTGGGGTGGGGGAGGAGGGCTTACAGGTACTGTAGGGCCACGAGGGTTGAGTAGGCAGCAGGGAGGGGTCCTCGAATGTTGGTGAGCTGGCTAAAGGAGGGCTTGGAGCCGATGGCGCTGGGGGGAGGGGAGAGGGGAGGGATGGGGGGACGAGATTGGGGGGGATGGGGGAGACGAGATGGGGGGGTGATTGGGGGATTCCCAATGTCAGGAAGGGGTCCTCGAATGTTGGTGAGCTGGCTAAAGGAGGGCTTGGAGCCGATGGCGCTGGGGGGAGGGGAGAGGGGAGGGATGGGGGGACGAGATTGGGGGGGATGGGGGAGACGAGATGGGGGGGTGATTGGGGGATTCCCAATGTCAGGAAGGGGTCCTCGTACGTTGGTGAGCTGGTCGAAGGAGGGCTTGGAGCCGATGGCGCTGGGGGGAGGGGAAAGGGGAGGGATGGGGGGACGAGATTGGGGGGGATGGGGGAGACGAGATGGGGGGGTGATTGGGGGATTCCCAATGTCAGGAAGGGGTCCTCGTACGTTGGTGAGCTGGTCGAAGGAGGGCTTGGAGCCGATGGCGCTGGGGGGAGGGGAAAGGGGAGGGATGGGGGGACGAGATTGGGGGGGATGGGGGAGACGAGATGGGGGGGTGATTGGGGGATTCCCAATGTCAGGAAGGGGTCCTCGTACGTTGGTGAGCTGGTCGAAGGAGGGCTTGGAGCCGATGGCGCTGGGGGGAGGGGAAAGGGGAGGGATGGGGGGACGAGATTGGGGGGGATGGGGGAGACGAGATGGGGGGGTGATTGGGGGATTCCCAATGTCAGGAAGGGGTCCTCGTACGTTGGTGAGCTGGTCGAAGGAGGGCTTGGAGCCGATGGCGCTGGGGGGAGGGGAAAGGGGAGGGATGGGGGGACGAGATTGGGGGGGATGGGGGAGACGAGATGGGGGGGTGATTGGGGGATTCCCAATGTCAGGAAGGGGTCCTCGTACGTTGGTGAGCTGGTCGAAGGAGGGCTTGGAGCCGATGGCGCTGGGGGGAGGGGAAAGGGGAGGGATGGGGGGACGAGATTGGGGGGGATGGGGGAGACGAGATGGGGGGGTGATTGGGGGATTCCCAATGTCAGGAAGGGGTCCTCGTACGTTGGTGAGCTGGTCGAAGGAGGGCTTGGAGCCGATGGCGCTGGGGGGAGGGGAAAGGGGAGGGATGGGGGGACGAGATTGGGGGGGATGGGGGAGACGAGATGGGGGGGTGATTGGGGGATTCCCAATGTCAGGAAGGGGTCCTCGTACGTTGGTGAGCTGGTCGAAGGAGGGCTTGGAGCCGATGGCGCTGGGGGGAGGGGAAAGGGGAGGGATGGGGGGACGAGATTGGGGGGGATGGGGGAGACGAGATGGGGGGGTGATTGGGGGATTCCCAATGTCAGGAAGGGGTCCTCGTACGTTGGTGAGCTGGTCGAAGGAGGGCTTGGAGCCGATGGCGCTGGGGGGAGGGGAAAGGGGAGGGATGGGGGGACGAGATTGGGGGGGATGGGGGAGACGAGATGGGGGGGTGATTGGGGGATTCCCAATGTCAGGAAGGGGTCCTCGTACGTTGGTGAGCTGGTCGAAGGAGGGCTTGGAGCCGATGGCGCTGGGGGGAGGGGAAAGGGGAGGGATGGGGGGACGAGATTGGGGGGGATGGGGGAGACGAGATGGGGGGGTGATTGGGGGATTCCCAATGTCAGGAAGGGGTCCTCGTACGTTGGTGAGCTGGTCGAAGGAGGGCTTGGAGCCGATGGCGCTGGGGGGAGGGGAAAGGGGAGGGATGGGGGGACGAGATTGGGGGGGATGGGGGAGACGAGATGGGGGGGTGATTGGGGGATTCCCAATGTCAGGAAGGGGTCCTCGTACGTTGGTGAGCTGGTCGAAGGAGGGCTTGGAGCCGATGGCGCTGGGGGGAGGGGAAAGGGGAGGGATGGGGGGACGAGATTGGGGGGGATGGGGGAGACGAGATGGGGGGGTGATTGGGGGATTCCCAATGTCAGGAAGGGGTCCTCGTACGTTGGTGAGCTGGTCGAAGGAGGGCTTGGAGCCGATGGCGCTGGGGGGAGGGGAAAGGGGAGGGATGGGGGGACGAGATTGGGGGGGATGGGGGAGACGAGATGGGGGGGTGATTGGGGGATTCCCAATGTCAGGAAGGGGTCCTCGTACGTTGGTGAGCTGGTCGAAGGAGGGCTTGGAGCCGATGGCGCTGGGGGGAGGGGAAAGGGGAGGGATGGGGGGACGAGATTGGGGGGGATGGGGGAGACGAGATGGGGGGGTGATTGGGGGATTCCCAATGTCAGGAAGGGGTCCTCGTACGTTGGTGAGCTGGTCGAAGGAGGGCTTGGAGCCGATGGCGCTGGGGGGAGGGGAAAGGGGAGGGATGGGGGGACGAGATTGGGGGGGATGGGGGAGACGAGATGGGGGGGTGATTGGGGGATTCCCAATGTCAGGAAGGGGTCCTCGTACGTTGGTGAGCTGGTCGAAGGAGGGCTTGGAGCCGATGGCGCTGGGGGGAGGGGAAAGGGGAGGGATGGGGGGACGAGATTGGGGGGGATGGGGGAGACGAGATGGGGGGGTGATTGGGGGATTCCCAATGTCAGGAAGGGGTCCTCGTACGTTGGTGAGCTGGTCGAAGGAGGGCTTTGAGCCCATGGCGCTGGGGGGAGGGAGGGAGGGAGGGAGGGAGGGGGGTGGGAGAATGTGTTGAGATGGTCTCTTTGGATTTGAGTGTCTGGCCGAACAGAGGGGCTGAAAGGAGTGAGGGCGGAAGCACAAGCACACGCACACGCACAAGCACAAGCACACGCACACGCACAAGCACACGCACAAGCACACGCACACGCACACGCACACGCACACGCACACGCACACGCACAAGTATGTGCATACACACACAAACAAATGAGCACACGCGCACTGCTGCGAGGCACTCACAGGTGGATGAGGCGCGTGAGAGAGCTGAGCTCCTCTGGGAGACCGCCGAAGAGATCGCCGCCCTTGATGGACCTGCCAGGGATAGCGTGGGGTGGAGAGGGGCGGAGAGGGGTGAGCAAGAGTGTAAGGAGGCTGAGGAATCGAAAACAGAGTGGGACTTGGTAAGTGAACCTGGGAAGTGAAACTGCAACCACCTGATGGACCAAATGAAAACAACACCTGAGGCAACACGCAGCACCAAGGCACCTGAGGCAGCACCTGAGGCAGCACCCGAGGCAGCACCTGAGGCAGCACCTGAGGCAGAACTCACAGATGCACGAGGTTGGTGAGTTCTCCCAATGCAGGCGGGACTTCCCCCCTTAAATACTTTCCGTTCAGAGACCTGCGCGTGTTGCGTGGGGGGAGTGGGGGAAGGAGGAAGGCGGAAGGCGGAAAAAGAGAGGGGGGGAGAGAACGGGGGTTGGGGGAAAGGGTGGTGAGCGCGAGTATTCAACAGTGTGTGACTGCAACAGATGGCACGTGATCTGACTGAGCGGCATGTGCTTATAACGAATGCGCTGAGGCTTACAGCGAGGTGAGAAGCTGAAGGCTATCCATGCCTGCTGGAATCAAGCCCCCGATGTTCACCTGGTCAAGAAGCCTGCATACAGTGCATAATAGGATACACAAAAAACGAATAAATGTACATGATTAGATACTTGGGATTTATATATATATACATATATAATATACATATTTATCTAGTATAAAACATGAGAAATGGGATCCAGGATGTAGTATACCCAGGACCTTCCTCCTTCGCTAGGGGAAGTAGTCTCCTATAACCAGCTTGCCTTGCACAGTACATGGTGCGAGAAGGTTGTATCATGTGAAACGTACAGAGATTTGAGTGATGTGAGTTTGATGACGTCAGCAGAGAGGAATCCTCCATTAAATGATGACTTGAATTGTCTGCATGACCGGATGGAAGGATAGTTAGATGGAGGGATGGATATACAAATGGACGGATTAATTTGTAGGGCAGGAACAAACAGTAAGCGATTTGTTAATTGTAGCTAGTGAACGCAAAAATCTTCACGACGTGACACACATTTTCAGCGAACTGCACTACTGTCGAAGCAAACTCAAAACTAATACGCACATCGAAATCGGCTTGCCGTCCGCGTCGCACACGACGCCCGTCCACCCGTCGTTGCACTCGCGCGTGCCCAACCAACCATAGCTGCTCGGCACTCGCAACGCCTTGCCCAGTGCGCTTAGCGGTTGGACTGCGGAAACGAAGGGCGGAAAACCAGAGAGTTACAACAGAGAGGGTGAGCCGAAAAGGCTAGTTAGCGGAGTTGAGAAGTGAGGGGGGTTGGGGAGAGGGGAGGAAGGTGGAAGGAAGGGGAAGAGAGAGGAGGAGAAAAAGGGGGGAGGCCGGGGGTTGCGGAAGGGAAGGGGGGAGAGTCTGGGAGCGGTGGGGGAATGTGAGAGGAGGGAGAGACCGGAAAGCAGGCGGAAAGAACTGGCGAAGGGGGGAGGCTGGGGCGTGTAATCTGGGACGTGCGCGGAAGGAACCAGGGGAGCAGGGAGGGGGGCGCAGAGCGGGACGGAGAGGGGGGAACGGCACGGGGGAAACGGAGCGGGGGATCGAAGAGGTGGACGGAAAACGGGAAGCGGGTAGAAGGAGCCCGGGAGCGAGCGGGGAGCTTCCGCACGGTCGAGTGGGGGATGGAGAGTGGGGATGGAGAGTGGGGATGGAGAGGGGACGGAGGGATGGAGAGTGGGGACGGAGAGAGGGACGGAGGAGTTGGCGCTTACACATGCTCGAGTGCACCGCAACTGGCGCAGGTGCGACGGCAGCCGTTGATGGGATTCCAGCGAGCATCACAAGCAGCGCGATTGACGCCGCGATTAGCGCAACTCGACAAGAAGCGAGGGTCCGGGATGCCATGGCAGGTAAGGGTTCTGAAGCTGGAAGGGCCGTGTGATGAGAATGATCTCGCGCCTCGAAAGGAATCATCCTAAGCGCAGGTGAAGGTTCTGAAGCCTCGTAAGCCCGCTGCAATGACCGGCGGCGCTTTGATGATGCTTGGGTGGTTCCTGGCGTGCAGCTGCTCGGCTGATTAATCGTCATTCTGAACTCGTGAAGTCTATCGAGCTGTGAGGAGAAGTACGCCTTCGCAGATCGTATGCAGCGGAGTAACTAAGACGCTCAGCTAGATAGCAACTTTCGTAGACGGTAGTAACGGGGAGGAAAATCCCTCGTGATGTCAGAAGCTACTAACTCCTGAAATCGGGAGTAGTACAAAAGACGTCAACTCGATGCGGCCGATCAGCCCGGAAAACACAGGAACGATTTTGACTCGAGCCTACTATTTCTCGTTTAGCAGTTGCAGCGCTAGAAATCAGATACGTGCTGTTTTTAAACAGCTAATCCCTTCCTGAGTGAAATAAAAAACCTCGATCAAAGGTAATCTATGCTGCCGCTGGCGTGTAGGGCAGGCTCGTGCGACTGGAATAAGGTACTGACGGAACGACAGGGCAGTTTTGAGGAGGTTTCGTAGAAGGCACTGTCACCGCAAAAAAAACGGAATTTGTGTAAGGAGCGCTGCGCGTTAAATCAGGTGATGTGGAATGGTGAGCAAGTTTGTAGGAGCTGCAAGAACGGAGAGCACATAGTGCTGCAAGAACGGAGAGAACTCACACTATCAGCTCCGTTTGTAGGAGCTGCAAGAACGGTGAGCATGGGCTGAGGACCTAGCTCGGTTGGATGTCGAACGCGTTGGTACTTGCGGTTCGCGTGGGTTCAACACCGCTTATTAACGCACATTAACACATTGGAATGCAAACAACCAGACAAATCCGTGTGAAAGTAACGGAGTAGCTGCAATGGGCGTCAAGATCCCTTGGTGGAAGGCATGAATGGAATGCAGGACACTTCTTGGCTCAGGGCCTGTGTAAGGGTCCGTTTAGAGGACCACAGTCTCCTGTCTGGTTCGGGAAAGGTTCCACATTGGTGAAACTGTTCGCTGACCTTCACGCTGTAGGTGTTCGTCTTGCCACCGTGGGTTGGGCATCTTGTGTACCAGGAAGGGGGGATATTGATCATCAATAGAGGACCAGGCTGGGGAAGGGCCACACAAGCATGAGAGCCTGAGCTGGCTGCCGAGACCGACAGTGGGGCAGCACTGTGCACAAGTCGCAATTTCCATGTTCAAAAGACCGAAACACTGTGCAAGGGGGCGAAAGATTGGTGCTTGTTCAGTTTTCAATGGTTCAGAGAGGCGAGAAGGGGTGTCGAGACGCCAGGCTGTAATACACTTGATTTCCGTTTGATTTCCCGTAATTGGGTTGTTCTTTCTGCTCTTAAACGTTTTAGGCATTTCGCCTGGTTCGTTCCATTTCGCCAGGGTGTTGAGGTGCTTCTAAAAAACACAGGTTGTAACGCGTTTGTTTTTTCCAAAACAGTGCTGGTGCGCCTGTGTTGTTGTCAGTTCAGGGTTTTGGGTTTATGCTTGTTTCTGGCCAAGAAACAAGAACCTACCGGGTCAGCATGGTTTGTTTTGCGCCTAAGATTCATACTTTGGCGTTTCCTCGCCCAAATGCAAGTTGATCCGCGTGCCTATAACCTGGGTGCAGCTGAGTGGGAAAAAAAACACGGGTGTAGAGTTTCTGAAATGTACAAGGCAAATTCGCGCGCAGTGGCTGGGCATCATGTGTAGTCACAAAGCTCGAAATGGGGAGATCGTGTCGAGTGACGTCTGGAACAAGCCCCATCTCAGTCATCCACTTGTGCAATGGGCCACATCCTTCAGGTTCGCCACTGGCGCAGGCTGTCTTGTAGCCCTCGCATCCGCGTGCGGCCCTGGTGGAAACCCGTTCCACCAGGAGGGGGACCTGGTGGGACTCGAGCCACCAGGGCCCAGGGCCCGGATGGACTGGGGAGATCGTGTCGAGTGACCTCTGGAACAAGCCCCATCTCAGTCATCCACTTGTGCAATGGGCCACATCCTTCAGGGTCGCCACTGGCGCAGGCTGTCTTGTAGCGGGAGAAGGCATGTGCTGTGCATGCCTGGGAAACCCTCCCTCCCATTCTCCATACGCAACCTGCTGCATTCGCAACGCCGCAACCTTCGCAACAACGACCTTTGCCATCACATTAATGTATATAGGAATAACTGCACTTCTGTATTACGGAACAACTTTTGCTTGTTCCGGGACGTCAATAACATTGCTTAATTCGCTTCTTCCAAACAACGAACTTGAACGAGGCGCGCCTTCCGATTGCGATGCTCGTGGTGCCTGTAAGCTTGGGTGATCCACCTATTGTTCATATAGTTTGGAGCAGATTATAGTGTAGTAATTCTGGTTTCTTCCTCTGGTTGTTCTTGAGTGGTTGAGGTGACGACGAAGTTCGCAGAGGATGTCGCAGAGATCATATCGGAAAGCGAAGCCACATAATAACGAGGACAGATCCGCCATGGAACTTCACACGGCCGCACGAAACGGCGACTTGGAGGCGGTTCGACGGATGATAGTGGTGGATGGCGCCGACGTCAACGCTCGCGATAAGCTGAACCGCACGCCGTAAGAGCCAGCGAAATTTGAGACGTCTCAAAGAGCCGAGATGCTGTTCGGCGTTGTTACACGCGGTTAACTGCTGTGCTATCTCATCAGTCCATTCTGCCCTTGAAAACCCTAAGTTGGCCCTCTATGAATTCCGATAATTCACCTTATCTCCCTGATGCCGGCTAATTTTTCTTATCATCGGCAACCCTAGGCTTCCCTGTTATGCTTCATCGAGTATCCTCGTTTCCCCCCCATTCTCCCTTCTCTCCCCTTCCCATCCCCGCCACCCACCTCCACCATATCCTCCCGCGCTCGCATCTTTCCTTCTTTCCCGAACCCTACCCCTTCCCCTCTCCCTCCACCTCCCCCTCTCCTATGTCCCTCTTCGTCTCGCACTGCTCGTCCAATCAGGCTCCATCTAGCAGCCTGGGCGGGCCACGCTGACGTCATCACCCTGTTGTGCGCCAGCAAGGCGGCAGTCAACGCAGCAGCCGCGGACGACACGTCAGCGCTCCACTTCGCAGCGCAGAAGGGCCACATCAGCGCCACGCGTGCGCTGCTGACGGAAGGAGCAAAGCCGGCCGCGGCCACTAGAAAGGGCATGACTGCCTTGCACTTTGCAGCTTCCAAGAACTTTCCGGAGGTAGTTAGGTTACTGGCTAGGAAGGGGGGCAAGGAGCTATTAGGTATGCGGAACAAAAGTGGCGAGAAGGCGGCTGATTTGGCTGGGAATGAGGAGATCAAGAGACTATTGGAGGGTCTGGAGGAGGAGTTAATCAGCAGTGGTGGAGGCAAGGGCAAGGAGAAGGGGAAGAAGGAACACTCTGGGGGGGAGGAGAAAGGAGGGGATGGGACGCACAGGGAAGTAGAAGGGGAGGAAGGGAAGGGCGGGGAGGGAGGAACGGGAAAGGATGTTGGGGAAGGAGGAGAGGGAGGGGAAGGGGGAGAGGGAGGGAAAGGGGGAGAAGGAGGGAAAGGAGGGGAAGGAGGGGAGGCGAAAGAGGAGGGAGGGGTTGAGAGAAGAGCGGGGAGTGACAGTCATGAGCAGGAGAGAAGAGAAAGTGCTTTTGGAGTTGGTGAGATGGCGGGGGACGGGGGGAAGGGAGAAGGGAAGAGAGAAGGGAAGGCAGAAGATTCGGGAGAGGAGAGGGGAGAAGGGGAGGTGGAAGGGAAGGAGAGGGTTCGTAGGAGACAGGAGGATGGGGAGAAGGAGGACAGAGGGGCTGACAAGGGAGGAGAAGGGAAGGAGGAAGGGGCGAGGCAAGAGGCAGAGCCTCGGGCAGCTAAAAAACCCAAGATTGGTTTGTCTCATCTCAGTGCTGATGTGGACGATGCATGGGAGGAGGAAGCAGCCTGACATGCTGCTAATGTGTATGCATGCATGCTTACTGACGTATGGAGGCATGATAAGACTTCAACAAGGTACAAGAGTTTCTGAATGGTGTGTGAATTGGTGATCACAAAAATGGTGAACAGTTTACCTTCATCCATCGTTACTGCTAGATGCAAGTGCGGTATAGCTGCTATAACTAAATAAAATGATGAAACATGGTAGCAAAAGAATAAAATTAAATCAGCAAGGCAGGTGCCTGAAACAACTTTAGTACATGGAATGCCCTCTACAACTATGGTACTTCTAAGTGGCTCTCATTCTAGAGCCAGCCAATGTCTGACAAACCGGAAAACCCACCCACATCGACAAGTCAGAGACAGGCGTTTGGAGCAGCAAAGCAAGCAAGCAGCTTATGAAGACCCCCGAACGAAAGCAAATCAGGTTTCACATCACACAGAGAGGAGCCACGAGAACAGAACACACTAGGAGCCAATGAATGACGCGAGTGAATGAAGCAGCTCAGTGCTGCTGCTGCCGCTGCTGCCGACTCTTCTCTGTGCCTTCTCCTTCTGCTGCTCTTGCCCCCTCTTCTCCTCCTCATCGGCAATCAGCTCTGCCTGCTCCGCCCTCTCATAATCCACTTCCAGGTCAATCCGAGCCGGTCCCCTCACCGTTCTCGCCCCAGCCTCCTCAACCTCCTCCTGAACAGCCTTCACCCCCTCACTCACAGCCCCTGCAATTTCCATTCCCATTCGCGCCGGACCTGACACCAACCCTAGCATCCCCGAGCCTCTCACCGAGCCTAGACGCTCGGCCACCGAGGCTGCGTGTGCGCTCAGAGAGGTGCTCCTGGTGCCGGTTCGGGTGGTAGCAGCCGCCTTGGGTGTACACAACACTACCTCCTTCCGGGCATTATACGTGGGTGTGTACCCGCTGAGACAGAAACAACCCACGCCGCGGCACGAAAAGTAGTACGGGTAGCAGCGGGCATTTTTCGGGCAGCCGCCGTTGACCCGCCCGGGGGCAACGCACGGCCACGATCGCTTCTGCTTGCACGTGCACGCATCATCTCTATTCGGCACATTCACAGCATTAGCATCGCACGCGCAAGTCCAGGTAGGGGGGAGAGCCCCAGGGGCGAGTCTGGGGCGCTGGATAGTCGAGGTTGTGGGGGGGGATAGGGCCTGGGAGGTGGCGACAGTGGTGGTGGTGGTGGGGATATCAGGGTAGCATGTTCCATACCCCTGGCACTGACTCTTCCCCTTGACGAGCGGCTCCCACACACCTGTACCGCAAGCCGCTCTGCACATGGTGCTGTTGCGCTGGGCTTCCGATGCCGTGCATTTAGACGACTCGGAGAAGCAGTTTTTGGAGAGAGCGGCGCCGAGCGCGGCGCATCTCACAGGAAAGGCATAGAAGAGACTGGTCCCGACAAACACGTTGGCGATTCCGGTGAAATAGTTCTCAGATAGGTCGATGTAGGTGAGGTTGAGTGGGAAGAAGAGGGGAAGGTTGCCGGTGAAGTAATTGGTGTTGATCGCGAGGGAGGTGAGGAGAGGAGGGAGCACGGGGGGGAGCGGGCCGGAGAGAAGGTTTTTGGAGAGTGTGAGGGAGTCCAGCTCGGTTGAAAAGGCTGGGAATGGGCCCGTGAAGAGGTTGCTGGAAAGATCACTGCAGAAGTGGGGGGAGAGGGGGGAGGAAGAGGGTGGGCCGTGAAGGAGGGGGGACGAGACGGGGGGGGCGGGAGGTGGGGAGAAAGGGAGAGATAGTGAAGGGTAAATGAGTGTGAAGAAAGGAGTGGAGATCGGTGCAGGGTGGGATGGGAAAGGGGGGTGGGGGAGAGAGAGGCGGCAGAGGGGGAGAGGAGGGAGGAATGGATGAGTGAGTGAATGAGTAGTAAATCGAGCTCAGAAGAAAATGCGGGAGAGGGCATGTAGCGCACAAAGCAGGGTGAAGGCTTCCCCCATGTAGGTAGCATACACAACAGGGAGTGGGGAGCGAGGGGGGGTGGGGGGAATGCAGCGCTTACACTTCGTAGAGGTGCGGCAGGGCGGCGATTTCAGGTGGGATGTCGTCAGAGAGTGTGTTGCTTGGTGCGGCCCTGGTGGGAGCGAGACGAGGGGCGGAAAGGGGAGGGGTGGAGAGGGTTGGGGAGGAAGGAGGTTAGCATTATAAGAGGAGGTGCGGCAGGGCGGCGATTTCAGGTGGGATGTCGTCAGAGACTGTGTTGCTTAGCGCAGACCTGGTGAGGACGAGACGAGGAGCGGGGACGGACAGAGAGGGGCGGAGAGGGGTGGGGAAGGGCGGGGAGCGGCGGGGCGGGGTGGAGAGGGGTGGAGAGGGGTGGAGAGGGCGAGGGAATATCCCAGGAGGGAATGGGAGGTTAGCAGACTAAGAGTTAGGAGACACGTGCTTGAAACAGATAGCAGAAGGGAGGCGGGAGGGAGGGATAGTGAGGGAGGGGAAGGGAAGGGGGGAGGCGGGAAGGGGAAAAGAGGGTGGGGGGCGGGAAGAGAGGGAGGAGGAATGAAACACGTGCTCGGAACCAATGTGCTTGAAGAGGGTTATTAAACGAGTATGCTTGTAACGAGCATGCTTACAAATAGAAGAGGTTGGTGAGCTGGCTGAGGCAGAGCGGAAGAGAGCCCTGCAGGCGGTTAAAGCCCAGGTTCCTGCAGGGGAACATGCGGGGACGAGGTGGGCGGGTAGGTGAGGACGAGGGGGGGGACGAGATGAGGACGACGCCGGGTCGAGGCGGGGGGGAGGCGGGGGGGAGGCGGGGGGGAGGTGGGGGGGAGGTGGGGGGGAGGTGGGGGGGAGGTGGGGGGGAGGTGGGGGGGAGGTGGGGGGGAGGTGGGGGGGAGGTGGGGGGAGGGTGGGGGGGAGGTGGGTGGGGAAGCAGAAAGGGGAAGCGCCCAAGCGGGGACGAGGTGGTAGACGGGAAAGAGAAACAATGGCGGGCGAATAGGCGAGCGGATAGAGCGGGAGGAGTGCAAAGGCAGCAACGACGACCTGAGGAGAGCACAGGATGCGGCGGGAAAAGGAAGCGGAGGAGAGCAGATGGCAGACGGAGGGCGGCGGGCGGTGGACGACAGACAGCTTTTCACTGAATCTTCACTCCCTCCTTTTCCCTCCCCCTCTTTCCCCGGACCTCAACCAGTGCGCCCCCCATCCCTCCACCCTCTAGGCCTCACCCTCCCCCCTCTCCCCCCCTGCACCTTTGCTCGCTCCCCCCTCCCCCCTGCCTCTTCCCCTCCCCTCTGCCCCTTCCCCTCCCCCCTAAGCCAACCCCCCCCCACCCCCCGGCCGCCTAACCTTTCCCCCGCGCGCTTACAGGTACTGCAGCGGCGCGATGTCGCAGAGCGCCTCGGGAATGCCGCCGTTGATGGCGGAGAGGCGGTTGAAGGGCGCGGCGGAGCCCACGCTGAGCAGCTGCAGGCGCGAGAGCTGCCCGAGCTCCGCGGGGATCTGCCCGGACAGGGACCCGCCCGTGATGTTGCTGCGCGGACCAGGGGAAGAGAGGGGGAGCCAGGGGGAGGGGAGGGGGGAGGGGAGGGAAAAGGGGAGAGAGGAAACAGACGCTCATCGGCTGCAGGCGCGAGAGCTGGCCGGGCTCCGCGGGGATCTGACCGGACAACGATCCGCCCGTGATGTTCCTGGGGGGGGGAAATTCTCCTCCTTCCCCCCCATCACTTCACCAACTCTCCAAACCCTGGAGCGCGCCCTTGGTGATGAGTCGTTCAGTGAGTTTTGAAGTGGCTAGAAATTATCCAGCACGGCTGAGAAGGAGGCTCTGGACTTGAACCTCGGGATTGTCGCCTCAACCTTCAGGCTTATGTGATTGGTTGGAGACGCGGGGAACCGAGGGGGAACTGGGGAGACGGCTGAGCGGCTGCGGGCGGAAGACGGCGGAGAGAGCACAGGGCGGCGGCGGAAAACAGACGCTCCCGCGGATGGCGGACTAACGGTGTGGAAGAAGAGTGGGGGAGAGGGGAGGGGCGAAGAATGGAGCGGGGGCGGGCAGGCGGAGAGGGAGAGAGGGAGCCAGAGCGGAGGGAAAAGCGAGGCAAGGGGGAGGGAGAGAAATGGGGAGGTGACGAAGGAAGACGAGGAGGGGAGATGACGAGGAGGGGAGGTGACGAGGAGAAGAGATAAGGGGCTTACAGGTTCGCGAGATTGGTGAGGCCGCCGAGACTAGCAGGGAGCTTTTCTAGTTGACGCAAAAGGCTCAAGAGGCTAACGCAAAAGCCAAGACTCGAGAGATAAGGGACTTACAGGTTCGCCAGATTGGTGAGGCCGCCGAGACTAGCGGGGATAGGGCCCGAAAGCGCGAGTCCGTTGAGTGCGCTGAGAAAGGGGGGGAGGGGAGGGGTGGGGGAGGGAGAGAGAGAGAGAGAGAGAGAGAGAGAGAGAGAGAGAGAGAGAGAGAGAGAGAGAGAGAGAGAGAGAGAGGGAGGAAAAGTTGTTTGGGCGCCTCATAAGCCGCCGAGATTAGCGGGGATGGGTCCCGAAAGCGCGAGTCCGTTGAGTGCGCTGCGAAAGGGGGGAACGAGGATGGGGGAGTTGGAGGGGGGAAAGACGTGTGCGGAGCGGACGCATTTGAGAAGGGAGAGGTAAGGGTGATGGAGAGAGAGAGGGTGGGTGGAGGGTGAGGAGCGCCTCGGGAATGCCGCCGACGCATTTGAGAAGGGAAAGACGTGTGCGGACGCATTTGAGAAGGGAGAGGTAAGGGTGATGGAGAGAGAGAGAGAGTGGGTGGGTGGAGGGTGAGGAGGCGAAGGAGGGCGAACAATGCTTGCGTTGTGAGAACGAATGCATCAATAAAGGAGACGGAACAACTGCAGCATGCCAGGACGGGAGAGAGGCGGCTAGGGCGTGATTGTAAGTGAGAGTGCTTACATCGAGGACAGGCTCGCCAGGCGGCCGACTTCCGTGGGAATGCTGCCAGTCATGTCCAGGTTGTTGAGCAACCTGTTACAAGCACACCAATTACAAGCACGTGGTACAGGCAGTTAAGAAGCGCGCCGTCGGAGTCACGGCAAAGGTAGACGCGGCGAGACAGAATTCCCAGGATTGAAGGTACCCTTAAAGAGGGTTGAATCGAAAGCACCCTTAAAGAGGGTTAAATCGAAAGCACCCTGAAGAGGGATAAATCGAAAGCACCCTTAAAGAGGGTTAAATCGAAAGCACCCTTAAAGCGCATGTACGAAGAGCTGACAGCACCATCCCTAGGTCTCGACGCACTCCCGCGGCTCGCGGTAACGCTCGCGGCGATCCCAAGGCTCGCGAGACTCCCAAGGCTCGCGAGACTCCCAAGGCTCGCGGGACTTACAAGGCCTGCAGACGGCTCAGGGTGCCGACAGACGTGTGCAGCGAACCGCCGGTCCACGTGGGCTTGTTGAACGATCTGATTGGCATCACATCCCAATCATATCCAATCAAATCACAACCATTATCAACCATATATACCACGCACAATGTTACAAATGGGGGAGAACAATGGCAGATGAGACGAGGGGGGCATGGTGAGGAGGAAGGTGGGCAAACAGAGCGGCGCGGGGATCTCAGACTCCGAGGCATGTCCAAGCCATGACTCCGAGGCATGTCCAAGCCATGACTCCGAGGCATGTCCAAGCCATGACTCAGAGGCATGCCCAAGCTATCACTCCGAGGCATGTCCAAGCCATGACTCAGAGGCATGCCCAAGTTATCACTCCGAGGCATGTCCAAGCCATGACACTCGTTGTGAATGGAAGTAAGGCATCCGCACCGCAGCCCACCTGCCCGTTACTAACATGTCCAAGTCATGACTCCGAGGCATGTCCAAGCCATGAAACTCGTCGTGAATGTCAAATCCAAAAGGGGAAAGGATGTCGAAGGTGGAATGCCGTCGACATCCGAAACGGCAAAAAGTTTCACAGAGGAAACGAGCCGAAGGTCGGGTGGATCTCGTAGTGTAAGTCAATTCGTCCCCCAGAGGTATGATAGAAAGGTGGGTGACGCGGGACATTGAAGGGGGCTGGAGCCGTGAGAATACGATAACTACTCTCACGAAGAGAGGATGCTAATGGGGTAACACGGTAACAATCCTACGTGACCATGGTTCTACATGGAAACAGGAAGACCGACCGCATCGCACGCAACTCCGAGCCATTTGTAGCCGTAATGTCGCGGCGTCGACGAGACCAGGAAACAGCGTAACGCACGCTACGCTACGTATTGTTGCAACATCTGAACGAACAGGGTATCAGACAGTGTCGCACGCCAATGGTTTTGCGACAAACGGTCGTACATAGAAACGGGGTGACCGTCGGTGTCGCACGTGACTCCCAGCCATCCCGTCGCGGAGTTGCATTGCCGCGCCGCCAACCAGCCGAACGTCGACGGCACTTTGAGACTCGTCGCTATACTAACCATCGCTTGCGCTGCACGGACAGAGGGGAGGGAAGGGGGTGAAGGGAGGGGGATGGTTGAGGGGAAGGCGGGAAAGGGAGCGGGGGGAGGGAAGAAGGCGATGAGAGAAGATTAGCGTGTGGATGCAATACTAACACACAGCGTCTAGACACAGCTGGCACTTCCAATACTCGTCGCTATATTCGCCATCGCTTGCGCTGCAGGGACGGCGGTGTAGGAGGAAGAGGGTGAGGGGGGGGGGGGGGGGGGGGGGGGGGGGGGGATGTGCGGGAAGGGGAGGGTGGGGAGAAACGCGAGAGGAGAAGATTAGTCTGTGAATGCCAGACAAAGCTGGCGCGTCAAGACTCGTCACTATATTCGCCATCGCTTGTGCTGCACGGACGGAGGTGCAGGAGGTGCGAAAGGGAAGGGGGCTGGGTGCGGACGCGAGGAGAGTTTTGAGACGTCTCAAAAGGGGGCTGTGTGCAGATGCGAGGAGAGTAGACTAGCATGTGGTGCCCTGACGTACGAAAGCTTCTGAGCTGAGAGCTAGTGGGTATCTAAAAGGACGCACATATGTTGCTATTTAGGGTCACGGGGTCGGCTGCGGGAACTTTCAAGTTTGACTCAAAAGCTACTGGAGTAAGAGGTGGTGGGCGTCTGAATGAACGTACAAATCTCGGCATTTAGCGTCACGGGGTCGGCTGAATAGACTGACGAGACGAGAGCCATGGCGACGCAGAACGAGAACAGCACTCTGTACTGCAGCCTCGAAGGCCAGCTATTTCTGGCCATGTCTGTGTCGATCAAGGTTGTCGCTTCGTTCGCAGAATGAGTACTAGCCCGGGAATTACTATCTTCAGCAGACCGAGAAAACTCGGCCCAGACGGATGGACTAACGCTAGACGGTGGGAACTTGTCGGTGAATTATAATGGAAGACGATAAGTAGATGCCGAGGCGACTTAGTAAGTACAGGACGCTAGAGGGTAGGGACTGAAGTCGATGACTGTTTACAGATCACGCCGCAGATCACTTAGGACCGAGTGCGAGGATGATATATTAAATAGCTATACAGTGGCGAAATCTATGTCTAGTATGGGCCAGACGGAACTGTCCTATGGGTTTGTGGTGCCTGCTTAGGCGGACGTTGCTGTGATTAGCCTAATGTCGTAGATTTAGGAGCAGGGGAGAACCAAGAACAGTGATGGTGTGAAAAATCACGTCTAGGCTCTTCGCAAGGCTTCCATTCTCTCTTGTTTTTTGTGGACACACCAACAACCTCCTCCACAACTTTGCTAGGGTAGGGTTGTTGCTCCTCACCTCACTCCTCCCTGCACCATGAATGACAAGGTGTCGCCTCGCCTCGCGCCAGCAGCCATGGCGGATGGATGGTGTGTGCGTCTGTCTGTTGTGGTCAGGTCAGCACATTGCGACAAAGGCACTGCTCAGGGTGATTTGACAGTCTGCACAAAACATATCATGCTCGGTTAAGAACGGTAGATTCAAATACCGCTCTTAACCGTTTTTAACCTTTGTGGATAACGAACCACGAACTGCAATCAAAACTTCTTGTGACGCGGCGTGAAAGAGTGGGTGGCTGTGGTTAGGAGGAGAAGGGGGGGGAGGGGGGTCCACGCGGAGAATCTGCGGACCCTAGGGTTTCCATTCTCACCAGTGCCTCGCCGCTTCGGATGGTCGGGCGGGAATGAGGGAATGCGGGGAGGAGCTGGGGGGAGGTCTTGGGAGGGGCAAGGGCGGGAGGGTACAGAATTGCGCAATGCCCAAGATTCACGACAGGACAGTCTTTCTAGGGAGCGGGGAGGGAACAAGACGGGGGACTCGGGGAGCCAGAAGCACGGGTATCGGCTCATCGTTGAGGCCGAAAATTCTACGCGAGGGAAGAGAAGGGGCACTTGGGGGGGAGGAGGAGGGGGGGGGGGGGGGGGGTGGGGGGAAGGCTTTCTACTTGTGGCAATTCATTCGGCTGTCACGCCATGTCAGCCTCGATTCTGTCTCCCTGGACTGTACACTGCACTCACACTCCCCGTCCCTGTGATGACAATATACCGGCGGGGCAGGAACTTCTATGGTTTCAAAAATATTCAAGTCAGTACAGAACCCCAGCATTCTTGCTGACTTCCTCTTCATCTTGCGCCAAAACACCCATCTAATCAAGACCAAGCACAATATTTGCCCAGACAAATACTTGGCTGGTCGCGTGGTTGGTTGGTTTCCGCAGCTACCCTGGGTTTCCATTCCACTCACCATAGGAACAGTCACGGTGGAATTGTTTTGGCAGAGAACGTTGGTAAGCTGGCGCTGTCGGAATCACCTGACATCACCACTGCACAGAGTCGAAGCAAGGTTGGTATTCGCTTGAAACGTCTTCGCCAAACGTAGAATAGTACACCAGATCAAACGAAACAGCAATATGATTATGTACCGTACGCACACCATAGAAACATAAACCATAACTGCCTGTAAACAGCCCAAAATGAAAAACGACACTCGACAACAGCCCAACACCCTGCCCTAGGGAAAAGATCATGCCCCTCAAAACCCACGTTTCTTTCCACACTCCCCACCAACCCTCATATTTCATGGTTGAAGTTGCGATTTAAAGTTGTGAGGTTTTCATGTATGCATCAATTTAAAGAGTGAGAAAATAGTATATAGTATACGTGTACATAAGGGCCGTCTTTACTACATTATATGTAGTACATTTGCGTCAAAACGAGTCGAGTGTGGAATGCTATGGCGAGGTAGGAGGCTGATGAGGGTCAAGACCAGGTACGTCCCAAGCCAAGGAGGTTCGCCTTACATACCAATCCAAACCTGTTTCGTTTGGCTTGATACAGCCTGCTAGGCTAGGGTGGTTACAGGTCAAATCTATTTGCCACCTGGCCTGTTCCTCCGCACGAGCCACCTGCGATTGGCTTCACTCAATAGTCAGCCCCAACCTCTGGGAACCCCCAAGTCGAAGCGCTCTAATTGTAAACCGTTCGATAGAAAACATGTGACGATATTGTACCAGGGCCCTGTTCGACAGGAGTTATGGGCGTTATGGGCGTTAAAACCCGCTGGCCCAAACGCAGGCTCGGGAACTTGGAGGTTTGCTTGGCGTTATAGAAAATCATGTGAACACCGTTCGGCTGGCGTTAAGGGCATTTAAACCACGCCACGTAAAGGTTAGAGAGTTTCGCAGCACCTTCGCAGAATCACATGATTGGTGTGTATTTTCGGCCAGTCGCATATGATTGGCCGCATCACCCCAACCCGTATGGTGCAAGCTCTCGACGGTGCACCAGGGGGCGGATCAGTGGTCCGCCCTTTTGCCCGTGCAAGTGATTTCCGGGAACCTACGTTTGGCAAAAAACGCCAGCAACACAAGGGCCGTTCGGCAGGCATTTTAACACCCTCAGGTTCGGCATGAGAACGCCTATCTCGAACCTTGATAACCCGTAGTTCGCTTAGCGTTTTGCTGTAGCTGGTCCCCGAGCCTGATACTAGTGGCCTTTTAAATGCCTGCCGAACAGGGCCCAGAGTTCATCGTAGGCATTCATCTCTCGTCAAGCCCTGAGTCTCACCTCACCAACCAAACAACAGCGCTCTCCACCTGTGGGGTCTGTTGTAACAGCAGCGCACAGCAACCTTGCAGCAGGTTGAAAAAGGTGCTGGGTGAGACGGTTCTGATCGTTTCAGAACGGGAAACAAGAAAACGAGTCGGTTTGGAGACATGCCACCACAATCAGTTTACACCACAGCACCAACAGCATTGTCTCCCCACAATCCCAAGGAGCATTTCTATTCCCAATGTTCCAACTTTCAAGGTCTAAGCTATCAGGATAGTTTCAAGGTGCAAGCTGCTGCAGGTCTGCATTGTGCAACAGTATTGAATTCGACAAGCATCTGTTATTCTTCTTCTCTGGAGCCAGGAGTCTTCCCAGGTCTGGGTTGCGAGGATCCTTCGCGAATTTCTGACTGAATACTCCAGTGTTTAACTTCGGCGCATGTGCGCTCCTACCATTTGCAATAGGGTTTTCCATAATCCGCTTCGTCAGCCGCATATGTTGACATTTTGCTAGGGTTGACTACAGCTTTCTCTTCAAAGTTGAGTCAGAATGAACCGCGTCAAAGCCGGTCGCAAAAAGGCCGAAGGGGGTGCAAGATCGTTGATCCCCTGTATAGTCTTCCTCATTTCCGCTGCGTGCGTCATTTTGGTCATTTCGTACACCGGCGCTAACGTCGCCACGAAAGCATCATCCGCGCAGCCCGGCGCAAAGAACCCGCGCGGAGGGGGGGAAAGCGCGGACGTCATGGAGGAAGGCGGGGGGGAGGGGGATGACGCGGGGGAAATGTCGTTCGTAAAGGGTGGCGTAGGCGCGGCGCCATTCCTGCCGGATTTCGATCTGAGCCGTCCAGTGGAGCACGGGCCGAAGGGGAAGCGGTTGAGTAAAGAGGAGCAGGAGTACGTGAGCGCGGAGGCGGAATACCAGGTGAGAAATAATGTTTAGCCCGGAATAAAAAATCGACATTTCGGGAAATGCATCAATATGAGATGGTCTGATCGGCGATGCGGAGGAGCAGGAGTGTGTGAGCGCGGAGGAATACCAGGTGAGGTATCTGAAGTTATGTTGGATGTTGTTCTCGAAGCGTCGATCTGAGACAGCCCGATGACGGAAAGATGAATTCAGAGCAAGAGTAGGTGAGCGTGGAGGCGGAATATCAGACGAAAATCGCGACTCAATTCGTACGCATCTAAATGCGCCGATTGGATACATTGTGAGGGAGATGGAGGAGGGGAAAATGTGAGCGCGGAGGCGGAACACCAGGCGAGAACTAGGAATAATGCCAGTTACAGATTGCGATATCAATGTATATGTGTCAAAGTGTCACTGTCAGGTCAGGGTTGTTTTCAGGGAGAAAGGAACTGTTCGGGTGGGAGAGTAAGAGGCGCTGATGGTGGAAAGACGGAGCTTGATTTAGATGTCAGATATCAGTGTCTTGGGAGGAACGAATCTTGCAGGTGTTGCGTTGCGTGGCCTTATGTGTGTCAATGCTACATGCACCTTCACCTTATAGGTTATTGTTGTGACTTTTGAGTCGACTCAAAAGTCTTATGTGTGTCAATGCTACATGCACCTTTACCTTATAGGTTATTGTTGTGAATTTCATTGTCCGCTTCCACCAAACCCCCTTTCCCCCCCCCCCTCCCTCCCCCCAAACCCCCCCCCCCCCCCCCTCCCCTTTCCTCCTTTCTCCTCCGCCTCCTTCCCCAGATGCGTCTGGCGCGGCGGAACGAGCTGACAGGGGGCAAGCGCCCCGAGCCGCCGTTCCCGCGGTGGAAGCCGGGCAAGATCAAGGAGGTGTTCCTCACGCCCACCTACCCCTGCAAGCGCGCCGAGCGCCTGGGGGGCACGGGGGCGGACGGAGAAGGCGGAAAGGTGAGGGGGGCGGACGAAGGGAGGGGCAAGGTGAAGGTGGTTGGTAGGTCTGATCTGAGTGTGATGGATGATGGTGAGAAGCAGCCCTGGGTGGGTGGGAAAGGCCTTGATGGGAAGCCGGGCAAGATCAAGGAGGTCTTCCTCACGCCCATCTACCCCTGCAAGCACGCCGAGCGCCTGGGGGGCACGGGGGCGGACGGCGAGGGGGAAAGGGGCAGATTTGGTGTTGATGGGGTAACTCTACTGGTGGAGAAGGCCAAATGGACGAGTGAGAGACGAAATCTGCCCTTGAAATCTATTTCCTTCTCCTTTTGCCCTTGACCCTTCCTCACTATCGCCTTCCTCTCCCTCCGCATCTTCTCTCAATTTCCAGTCTACCTCTAAATCCCCTCCCCGGTCCCTGTCCCCATTACCCCGTTCCCGTCCTGCCCCACCCTGCCCCCAACGCTGTTCCCCCTCTCCCCTGTCTTTGTCCCCGCCCGCCCCCGCCCCTGTTTCCCCCACTGGCAGTGGGTGTGCAACATCCGGAAACTGAGAGGGGGAGGCAGGAGGCCTATCGTGTTCCCATGCCCTTATCCCGTCCCGCCCTGCCCCTGTCCCCATGCCCCTGTTCTCATGCCCCTGTTCCCATGCCCCTGTTCCCATACCCCTGTTCCTATGCCCCTGTTCCCCCTCACCCGCCCCTGTTCCCCCTCACCCGCCCCTGTTCCCCCTCACCCGCCCCTGTTCCCCCTCACCCGCCCCTGTTCCCCCTCACCCGCCCCTGTTCCCCCTCACCCGCCCCTGTTCCCCCTCACCCGCCCCTGTTCCCCCTCACCCGCCCCTGTTCCCCCTCACCCGCCCCTGTTCCCCCTCACCCGCCCCTGTTCCCCCTCACCCGCCCCTGTTCCCCCTCACCCGCCCTTGTTCCCCCTCACCCGCCCCTGTTTCCCCCACGGGCAGTGGGTGTGCAACATCCGGAAACTGAGAGGAGGGGGCAGGAGGCCTATCGTGTACAGGTGAGGTTCTTGAAGGGGTGGGGGTACTGAAGGGGGTGGGGAGCGGAGAAGGTGTGTGGGGGGTGTGTGTGGGCAAAGAGCGAAGGGAGAGTGGAGGGAGAGACAGTGGGCGTGTGACATCTCGAAACTGAGAGGGGCAGGGAAGAGGGAAAGGTGTGGGTAAAGGTTAGGGGAAAATAGGAAGGTGAGGGAGGTGGGGTGGGGAAAAGGTTGGGGGGGTGGTGATGGGAAAGCCGAGGGGAGTGGGGATTGGTGGGGAGGAATAAGAGGTGGAAGAACCGTGTGAGGGAGGGGGAAATCAAAGAAAGAAGGAACAGGAAGCGGAAAAAGACCCTTTAGATAGATTTGAGTTTACTCAAAACTAGACCCTTTAGATAGACCTTTTCCATCTCGTTTCCCTCTTCTCCCTCCCCTTTCTCCCTTCCTTGCAGTGTGGGCAGTGCAGGGGAAACCTCCTTCGAGCAGGCTGTGAGGGAGCGGCTGCGCACCAAGGCGTTCACCTTCGACCCGTTTCTGGACGACCAGCAGGCAGCAGCGCTGCGAGCCAAGCACCTGCTGCGGTACATCCCCATCGGCCTTGGTGCGGGCAAGCAGCTCTCTGCTTTACGGCGGGGGGCGCCGGGGAAGCGGTTTGCCACGCTGGCCCAGCTGATGGGGAAGCTCAACCACTCGCATATTGACGTTCTCAAGGTGAGTTTGTGTGCTCAAACGTCTTATAACGAGGACACGAATTGATGGTTCAAATGGAGGGAGGGTGTGTATTGGCATGGCTTACATGAGGCCAAGCACCTCCTGCGCTACATCCCCATCGGCCTGGGCGCGGGCAAGCAGCTCTCTGCTCTCCGGAGAGGGGCGCCGGGAAAGCGGTTTGCCACGCTGGCTCAGCTGATGGGGAAGCTCAACCACTCTCACATCGACGTGCTGAAGGTGTGTATCGTCTCACGTCACGCCTTATATGAGCCCAAGCACCTGCTGCGGTACATCCCCATCGGGCTGGGCGCGGGGAAGCAGCTGTCGGCGCTCAGGAGAGGGGTGCCAGGGAAGCGTTTTGCCACGCTGGCCCAGCTGATGGGGAAACTCAACCACTCTCACATGGTGCGCCGCAGGATATAGCACCCCAAGCACCTCCTGTGGTACATCCCCTTCGGGCTGCCCTACTTGCCATCCCCCCTCAGCATGTGCCTCGCTCTGTGTCAGTGTCACCCCTTTCTCTCCCCATTTCGCTCCTCTGTCTCAGATCGACTGTGAGCATTGTGAGGAGCGGCTCAGGGAATATCTGCACACCCCCCCCCCATTCCATCAGCCCTTCCCTTGCAACACGTGACTTTCTCTGTCACTGTCCATTCTCTCACCCCCCCATCCCCCCTCCTTTCCCCCTTTTCCCATCAGATTGACTGTGAGCGCTGTGAGGAGCGGCTCATGGAGGATCTGCTCAACACGTTTGGCAAGGAGAATCCACCAGCAGAGCAAATCTTAGTGGAGATTCACCAGTGAGTCACTCGTTACCATGTATTACCATGCAGTTACTGCAGCTCAAGAACTCAAAATGATGAATGATACGAATGTAATATCCCATATGGATACACATGTATGTGATCCATACGTGATCAGCAATACCCTGCTGTGTTCCCTTGTTGGTTACAGAAGCACGAATCTGCTCATGCTCTATACCCTCTGTCCTCCACACCCTTCCACGCCCAATCAGGATTCGCCACGTGGCCAGGACCACGCAAGTCCTCTTCCCATTGGAGGACATGGGTTACCGCCTCTTCAATGCAGAGGCCAACCCACGCTGTAACAGCTGCTATGAACTCTCATTTGTTCATGAAAACTTCTTAAAGCCCAAATCCATGTTTCCAACTCCTGAGGCTCCTGCTACTGCCGGTGATGCTGCTGGTGCCGGGGATGCTGCTGCTGATACTGCAGCTGATACTGCCGAAGCTGCTGCTGATGCAGCTGCTGACGCTGTTGCTGCTGCCGCTGCGGATTCAACTGCAGAAGAACCTGCTGGTGATGCCAACTCTGGTGGCGATGCAGGGGGTGAAAGCCAATAACTGTCTATGTATTGTAGATTTGATTTGGTTTGCAGTTGACTTCCTTCCCCAGCTTACCTGTCATAGGCTGTTCTTCCCATTTGATTTGGCGTTTCATTGGCTGTAGTGACAAAGAGTAGCAGGTAAAGTTGCAGTATCAGGAACCAATCACAGAACAAAGGCTTACAGGTTTCCAGAGTTAGTGATATACCACAGTATTAGTAAGCAGTTATTTTGTGTCATTGCACAAAACTGTTGGTGCCCTATCAAGTACACTAGTTGGTGTATGACACAGCTCATCCGCGGATGAGGAGGATGGTGAAGAGCACCCGTATGAATCCTCTAGCGAGGAAGCCAAAAGCGATTCCTTGCATTCTTCACAGTTGCGAGTGCCCCCAATACTGCCGAGTCTTGGAACTTCAAAACAGACAGCTCTTTTTGTGCTTCCCTTTGCTGACAGAACCCATGGATGCGACAGAACTCCATCAATGCTCAGTCTCTTCGTCGGGTCGACCTCCATCATCCGACGGACGAGATCTTTCAAGCCGCTCGACACGGACGGCCAAGGACTGACGGCGAAATCGACCGGCAGCAATTCCCTGCGATCGTTAGGGAACGCGGGCCAGTCGGCACATACCATCATGTACAGAACCACACCGAGAGACCAGACGTCGGCTTTAAGATCGTGTCCCTGACACGCAAGCACCTCGGGCGCCTCGTACGGATAGCTCCCGACCACGTTTCTCAATTCCTTGCCGTTGCGAATCTCCTGAGCCAATCCAAAGTCTCCAATTCGAACCTCAATATCTTCAAGCCCGCAATTGGACTGAAGGTGTTTATCTTCCGCCTCGGAGGGAGTTATACGAGAAGTGGAGATTGCAGTAGCTTGTTGATGCTGGGTTGTCAGCGCAGATATCGGTACAGATTTTAGGGCCTTGGATGACGTCAGCAGGATGTTTTCGGGCTTGATGTCGCGATGAGCCACGTCGAAGTGGTGGCACCAACGAAGCCCTCTAGCAATCTGAAGAAATATGTGCCTCGCGATTTGTTCATCCAGGCCGTTGGTTTCCGCGATTAGATCGAACAGGTCCCCACTCGTGCAGAGATCCGTCATCAAGTAAAACGCATCGTCGTCTTCGTATGCTTCGCGAAGAGAAAGAACATTCTTGTGGCCCGATAGTAGACTCATTGTAGTCACTTCGTTGTAAACTCCTTCCATTTGGAAGGAGGAAAGCCCTGACTTGAGAATCACCTTGCACGCATGAAGACTCCCTGAGGTTCGGTCGACGCATCGCCAAACCCTTCCAGAATTACCCTCACCAATTATGTCAGAAAATGTGAAACGCTTTCGCATCTCGCCAGCAGACGGCAGAAAATGCTTCATTTTTCAGGCGTCGCGCTGGATTTGTAAGAAGTTGTCAGAGAAAGAAGACGAGGGGTTGTGCAAGGGAACTGATTAGGGAAAGTAACGCTAAGGTGCTTGTAATTACCGCGCCCATTCACGAAATCAGCTGCTGTTATATAGGAAGTTTTAAAGCCAGGGTCTCATGTAAGCTAAGGAGCCATCGACTGCAAAGCACTTGAAGCTAGGTAACCAAGTTCGTGCTGGCAAAGTTGTCTCTGGTTGGGTTGGAAACTCAGCTTGCGTCACTGCCCCAAAAGCAATTGCACAACACTTTTGGGTACTTGAGACTTTCGATGAGTTGGGGGCATTTTAGGTTTGGCTCCGAACCAAGTTTCCAAGCCTAGATGGTTCGGTTACCCCCAGCGATTTACGTTTGCTTCGCATCCCTCGCTTCACCCCACTTCGAACCTTACAACTCGCCAACCAATCAAAGCCACACTTTCACCATCAATTGCAAAGCACTTGTAGTACGTGAGACCCTGGCTTTAAATGGCAGGAGCGGAAGAGCCGACTTTCCTGGCGGAAGAATCATCGAATCGTCAGATCCCATGGCTGTCATATCATGAGAGAAATGAGAGAGGCACACTGGGTCTGGGACCAACGCTTGGAGCGTTGTTTCTGACTGTTGCCCTTTGCAGTGAGCAAGCAAGCATTCTTGAAGCTTTTGATCTGGCGGCCAGCTTGCATACATAATCTGATTGCAGGTAAAGATTGCCCTCAGATGTCCCATCGAAAACGGTAGTTTCCCTTCATCACCCCACCCAACCGTTCTAGATGATAATCTGAACTCTGTTTACCGAGCTTCATCCGAAGGAGCTTTTGGGATGCCCACCTGAGGTTGCTGAAGGGGGGCTGAGGAGACAGTGGATCAAGGCAGGAGGCGGAGTGGTGTGGCCGTGGTAGGCGAATTCGACATTTTGCATATCGTTTTGCGGTCTGCTGCGAAAGGACTTCGGTTCGGTTGACAAGGGCCCGTAACTTTTTCCATTTTAGGCCAATGTCCGAACGGAGCCCCCAAAACGTCCGAACGGAGCTCCGTCCGGACGGATGGGGATGTGGTTCGGACGATGAAGCGTCCGCACCACAATTGTGACACTTTTTTGCAGTTTCGAAATTTGAAACTCGTGCGAAACTGTAACGAGCATAACCTACCTCGCTAGCACATCGCTCAATTCGCAAGCATGCATTTGCGGCTCGGTAATGTTTGAACTTTCCAACCACTTTGCCCTCTTGCTCGCGCTACTGTGACTACAACACACAAACAAATTGAATGTTGGAGTGGGAAAACTGATTCTGAAAAATGTGTTTCGCGCACCAATGACGTTGCAGGGGTTCCGGACAGTCCGAAATGCTGTCCGGACAGTATCAGTAGCGTAGAACGGACGGTAAACTGACAGAAAAGTGTCAGACTTCGTACATACGATCGCGACGTCGCGAGGGGTCTTACGAACGTAGTAACCCTACGAAAGTCCGGACGGGGCCTCCGTCCGGACGATAAAAAGCGAAAAAGTAACGCGCCCTCAGACTTTTTATTTTGCCCCACTACACCACAGTGGTCGAAAGACCGCAGAATTAATTGCGCGACGCGACGACTCTCAAAGTTTTCTCAATCCTGTCGACCAAGCTCGCACAGCGCTCCCCCTTTTTCAGATTTCTCAGTCCCATGGAGAGCAGCTTGCTCTACACCTGAATTCACGGTCTGCGTATTTGTTATCAACAGTTTTGGATCCATTCGATTTCTTGCTTTTGGGTGAGAACAAATCTGACGCTATCCAGATGCAATAACTGCAACCCATTAGTACATGTTTCATTTTGCACAGTTGCATTCATGATACACAGCGGTTGTACTGATGTGACGCGTAAATATTTCAAAGCTAGGTGATAAACAAAATACAATATTGTAGATATAATTACACTGTACATTAGGACCAACCGTAATGAGATGATTGGACTCTTGCATCTAAACAACGACATAGTGTCGACTATAACTTTCAAATTTAGCAAAATAAAATGTATTTTCCAACCCACATATCCACAAGCATGTTCAAAGAGGTTTAGCTTTTTATACAAGAAATGCAATTTTCCAAAATTATCTAGCAAAACGGCAGAGTACTTCTCTTTAATGAAATCTCTTGGGAGTATCAAGTAGTATTTTATTCAGTTCCGTTTTTTTTTCGTTTCCCGGTAGTACTAGAAAACTAAACTCCAATATGTCATATTTAATTCATATAATACCTTACATAACTCTGCAGCCCAAACCAAAATACCTTAACGGTTATTGAGTATTCATGGTAAACCATGTATGGCCAAAGAATGTGTCGTCCAACAAATCTGACACAAACTTTGTCGAGAGTGGTTATGTCATTATCAACAAAGCACATGTAGAAGTCCATGGGATTTAGAAATATAAAAATTGAGTAGCGCGGCGCGAAGGTAGTCGACAGTATTGAGAAAAATTCAGAAATCGTCGCGTCGGGCGATTATTTCAAAACTGCAGCATGCGATATCGCGGCCACGATTCGAAAAAGGGCAGGAAACAGAGGCCCAGTTCGGCATGTATTAAAAAAAACGGTTTCCCCATATGGGCTACAATAAACCGACCACCATGGAACCTTTTTTCACAAGCGCGTGAAATGTTATATAGGCTCGATATAAGTGGGTCGTTGCCGAACCAGACAATAATGGAATACCAGCCAAACACCCCTTGTAACGCTGGCATTTTCCACCAGTCGAACCTTCCTCGAACCATATTTCTCAGGCAAAGTGTCCATTTTCTCATTCGCCGCAGCATGCGACCTCGAGGTCCCTGACCCTGCGGGAGATCATTGATTTGGGGCAATCACACCTTGCTCTGAAAAAAAACAAATCCCGGTCATTCTCAACCCTCTCCGTGCCCGCTGGAATTTCGCACATCACCAACACACCATCACTAACACATCGAACGAACCGTTTCCCTTCGCATATTTTTTTTTCGACATCCACCGCTGGTTTGCAGAGCTGCCCGGGCTGCCAAAACAGTGATTCAGCGCTCCTTCCGCGCGGCTGCATACAGGCTTCTCCGAAGTGTCGTTTTCGGTTGATGCCATTAATCTTGGCTCAGGCCCCGTTCGGCAGACATTCTCGCCATTATCGCCATTATGGGCATTTTTAATGGGCCCCCCAAAAATGGCCCCAATAAATTGACGCGAAAGCAGACCGCAGCTGCATTGAAATCTCGGGAAAATGGGCCCATGTGTTGGGTTGGCATTAATTGCGCCCATATTAATGGCATCAATTGGAAACGACACTTCCCCGAAGCCCGTTTGCACCAATGCTGATAGTGCGCAGAATCACTGTACTGGCATCCCGGGCAGCCCTGCAAACCAGCGGGAGAGGTAGGGAAAAAAATCCCTAGGTCGAATGGGTGTTGCGTTCGTTGTGTTAATGGTGGTGTGCTGGTAATGTGTAATTTTCCAGCGGGCACGAAGAGGGGTGTGAATGATCCGGATTTTTTTTTTCCAGTGCAAGAAGTGATTGCCCCGAATCAGTGATCCGCCGCATGGTGCGGGACCTCGAGGCCGCATGGTACGGCGGATGAGATAATGGCCAGTTTGCCTGAGCAGAAGGGTTCGAGGAAGGTTCCTCTTGTGGAAAATGCCAGCGTTAATTGGGGTGTTCGGCTGGCATTCCATTATTGTCTGGT